CTTTCACAAATAGCAGTAGATTATTACGAACGAAATGCCTAACGCTTCACTTGCCTTCGGAGAAATTGAGCTTTCAAAGAATTCGGAGAAAATCAAAATAATTACAGTTATTAAAGAGATGTAAATTTTTTATATCTTAATGTTAAGCTTTGTTTCATGAAAATTAAATTAAAAGGCGATTCTAAAAATTAATTTACCTCGGTAACTTTAAAAGAAAATAAATAAACACTGGTGGTTTTAAATTAACTTGTACAAAAATTTGCGCAATTAATCATAATTTTCTTTTGTTATTGCAAAAAAATCCAAAATTAAAAAATGAAAAAAAAGAAATTAATTTTTTTTTTTAAATGCAGATTTTAATGAGTCTAGAGTTCCATTTATTTTACTTGTGTATCAAGTGCACGTTTTAACTTTCAAGTTTGCATTAAGGAAGGGAAATGTCTTTATGCTCGCAGTTTGAATGGTCTTGCGAATCAAAAAATGATTAGTAGGTTGGTCTCATTTGGGCGTCACGCACAACCGAAATTATACCTCGCGACGACATCTCGAAAGACTGCCGATCATTATTTCGCATTAACGACGCCACTCGCTCTCTGGTGCTAACAGATTATTACAAACTCGCAAATGAGACCTGTAATTTCCGTTCGACACACTTTGCGAGCGAGAGAGAAAAAAATCGGAGCAAAAGAGGCGACTCGTGCGGAAAAAGCAGCTGCCGGGGGAGATCGCTTTGAATATTTAATGCCGCTCCTCTGAAAGGAACGCCTTTGTCACTCACTTTTGTATCGCCTCTAATTTTTCCATCCAGTAATTTCATATAATTATACCTTTGATGAACCTGCAGAGCCGATTACACCATGTCATTTCCACGTAAAAATTGATGAATTTGTTCTGAAAGGAATTTTCCATCGATTTCCACTATTTTTGTTGCATTATTTAACGCAAACTTCAGAAATGATTGAGAAAATCTTGTTAGTTTTATTTAGAATTTTGGGGAAAGTTTTTTATAAAAAAAAATTTCTCAGTTTCTGTTAAACGTAGGATAAATAAATATGAATAAATTGTAAGAAAATACATGGCTTACGCCCTGAAAAAGTTCATAGGTCAAAGTTCAAGGGTAAATTTTTGAACCTCTAACTCAAAATGTGACACCAAATCATTTCGGAATAAATTTTTCATAATTTGAAATTGGCCCAAATCTTCACTTAACAAAATTTTAAGCGCCAGTTTTTCAAATTTCTAGATAATTAGGGTCAAAGGTCAATTCAGGTGGACTTTCTGCTACTCTAGAGGCAATTTAAAGATGAATGTGAATTAATTCATCTGACTTTTAAATTTACCAAGAAAACCATCGAAGGTAACCCATCACCCCTTCAGGGTGAAGCAACCTACGCTCAGGGTCTCTCTCAGTCAGGGTTTATGTGAACTTTAAGAAAGGTACCTTCATAGGTGTCAAAACATATGTTTTTGTCGACACAGATGACTAAATTCAAGTAATTTTATAGCTAGAATGTAAACTTTAAACCATCCATTAACTGGTAAATTTGCATAATTTTTTAAACTTTCAAACTGCTTTGAATGGGCGATCCTCTTTAAGCAAATAATCGAAGTGTGGGGGATATAAGAAGTGCGTCTTCGGCTCGTTTATCATGCGGGCGCGCATTAGCGAGAGTTTCTACTAACCCGCCACCGAACTATCTCTCTCTCGGGCGAGTATGAAAGCTCTCTCGGCTAGTGATAATATTATTATCAGCGAAAGCAGCCGGAATTAATGCGGTGGCAGCCTTAGTATTAGGCGGCGGCGGCGCGAGTTATGAGGTGAATAATGAAGGCGAGCTACCCAGCCGGGCTCGCGCGCGCGATAAAATTAAAATAAATGATGCAAAGTGACGAGATGAGAAATGAATGAATGAATAGGAATTACTCTCTCGGGCCCCAAACTTCTGCATCAGACACCTCCTTTAAACTCGGCACGTGAGTTGCCCCTTAACTTTCAACTTAAACTTCCCAACTAATTGACTTCAACAACTTATTTTTACATGTGAAATAAAAATAATAATAAAATTTATTGACTTTGTAGAAGTTCCATTCGTTAATTTGTTTATTTTCGGTTGCAATAAAGTTCAATCAAGTCGGCAATCAGATTTTATGATGTCCGTAATCACTTTCTTATTGCTTTTTATTGATATTAAATTAGCTTGTTTTCTTTTTCGGGCTCACCGGCACGCGATCGAGACAAAGAATTGTACGTTTTCATAAAAGAAGTGAAACTCCAATTTGGTTAAAAGCAGTTTACTGTTAAAATTGAGACATAAAAATCTGAGCGCTTCAGAAAAAAATGGAGCAAAGAAATATCAGAAATTTAAAAATATTCCTCATCGCTACATTTTTCACTTGCAATTCTCAAGAAATGATTCTCGCGGAAGGATTCTCGAGGAAAGTTTCTGCCATTTAAAAACCACCGCAGAACCATTCCTTGAGAATCCTTGCGCGAGAATCGCTTCTCGAGAATCAGTTTTCAAGAATCGCTGCAAGAATCGATTCTCTCATATTCTGACTTACCCTTTGCATCAACTGGCGATTCTGATTGACTGACTAATTTTCGTGCGTGCGTTTATTTCAATTAAATTGATTGCCCGCCGTGGTGACTTTTCTCGTCAGGGGATTGTGGGTACTGTATTGGAAGCAAAGACAAAGAGCCGCGGGTTCATATATTTTTCCGTCACTTTCTGTTCCGCAGTCGGGGGTGCTTTTCCATTGTGTGGCCCGCGAGAGACGTGTGTGTGTTTTTTCTCATCATTGTTATTACAATCAGCGTGAGTAGTGAGTGCAGCCCGCGTGCAATGGATTTGCAGCAGCCGGATGTGTGTTTGATTTCTTTTGTCTCGTCAACGAGCAAAAACAAAACACGCACATCATGTTTTCGATACACATTACGCTCAAATGAGCTGCTAAGTCGAGCAGTCCTTGTTGGTAATTAATTAGAGAGATACGTTATGCTGTGGGTTTGGCTGCATGGTTTGGGATCTTCATTTCCATTCATTATTTATTCTTGCAAAAATTCATCACAATTATTTTACTTTCATTAGTCGCAATGATAGATTTTTATTCAAACAATTCATAATTAAAATTAAAATTTCATTGCAATTATTATTTTTTGACAGTTTTTATTCTAAAAAAATGGCGTTTGTTTGGACAGATCAGATTTTGATTCTTGATATTTTGTAAATAAAGTTTTTTAGTCAGAAATAGATTCATTGTGACCTTTTTCTAATTATAGTAAGATCGGACCAGTTAAATCGCAATTTAATTAAAATTTGTTTGCTCATTTTGGTGCTTTTGACTTACTTAACTCTCCGATATTATCTTTAATTTTGAGCGCGATTTGCATGAATTAATTTTCAGAATTTCTCATTAACGCGAAATTCCTGTTCCACTTTTAATTCTCTCGGCGAACGTTGTCTGGGAATTCGCCGCTGGCTGCATAATGATGCGCGCGTTATAAATAAAATTCTCTCGCAGGCTCGTTCGTCTCTCATCTGGAATTTCTGGGTGCGGTTTCCAGTCGCTTCTCACTCAGAGAGGAAGGAATTCGAGCCTCGTCTCGGGCGCAATATTATCTTCACGCCACTTCTTCTCGCTGCTATTAAAGTTCCGAAGCGCATTCTCCGCTTATTATATTGCCTTATTCTATGGATCATGCAGATCTCGCTGCGAATCTAAAAGCTTTCAAGGCACAAAATGCTTCAATTACCGCCAAAAGAGAGAAGCGACTATATCTAAATCGGCGATTTCCAAGCACAAAGGACCTTTTTTTATAGAAAATAAAATCTGATTTATGTTAAAAGGTTCTCGTTAGTCAAGAGTGGCTGTTGTTGCGACTTTATTATTATTTTTTCTTAAACATTACATTCAATCTTAACCCTTACAGATTTTTTTTTAATTTGCATCTCGTTGAACAAGAAATCCACTTGTATTTCCAGTCCTCTGTAAAGCTTACATTTTTTCAGTCTGACTGAGCGCAGAGACGGACTTGATAAGGAGGCGCCTTATGAATTTTCCATCGCGAATTATCATTTAAATGGGGAGAGGCAAAACAACGAGATGAGACGAGAAAAGTTTTGCAATTTCGCGGGTGTATCATCATTTGTCTGCCGGGCGGAAATGGAATGATTATTTTCATTTTTGTCATTAACAAAAAAGCTGGCTGCAGCGCGCAAAAGCAGTCGCGGTGTAATTTTCCCGGCTTTTTGTAATTATTTTTTCCCAGCAGGACTCGGCACAGACGTGCAGCACGCGCGGATTCCGTGTAAATTGTAATCAAAAGTTGGCGAAATGATGTTTCGCCAGCCGAGGGAGGAGACAAGAGAATCGATTTGCCTCGCGGCAAACACGAATTTCCATCAAAACCGCACATTTTGAATTAAAAACCGGGAAGAAAACAAATGTATGATATCAATGAATAATTTATAATTTTATTTTCAATAATATTTTAAGTCAATAATGCTTTTATAAATTCTAAATATTAATGATCCATCAGAAAATTGTTTTTTTTTTTTTAAGGATGGCTCAACAAATAATTTTTTGCATAATTCTATTTCTTCAAATTGAAAATCTACAAGAAAAATATGGGCGAACCTTAGAATTGTTTAATGCATTATTAATTTAAAATTGTTAATATAATTCAACCTATGATCTCCTCATTTTTACTTTTAAAACCTTTGTGATTTTAGAAGATGTTCCAACTCTGCAAAATATTTGATTAAAAGATTCAATTTTGAGATTGGCCTCCGGGTCCGAAGCCGGAAAGTTTTAGTCCTGTGGCCATTCATTTCATTCACACAGAGCTTCATTGAAAGATTAGAACGCTCAGAAGCTTTGTGATTGCGTGTGTGAGGCGATCCGAATTTAATTACGGTTTTGGTGTCGAGAACTAACGCTCAGAAGTTTTATTGTGCGTAATTAAGAAAACGCTCTATATGCAAATTTATGCATTGCAGGACCGAGAGGAGGAGAATGCTGTGCACGACGCGCGTGGTCCTCCTGCTTGCAGCCGCCCTAACTAGCAGAGGTGAGTGCTCAATTATTTAAAACTGCACAGAGATGAAAATATAGAGTACGTGCGAAATGTGCTGCCCGGTCCGTTTCGTCTACTTGCGCCCAAATGAAGTGTTTCGAATTCATCTGACGCACACGCTGCGGCAAACCGACGCGTAGATTAAACTCTGCCAGAGATAGATACAAAAATTATTCATGATTCTCTTAAATTTTTATTTCCACGTTCTGAAAATTCGTTTTTTAAAAACTTTTACTTTGAAAAGTTTTTAAATCGTTATTCGAATAGATTTTAAAAGATAATTCCGAGGATATGCCACAAAAATCAAAATCAAAATTGATGTATGTAAGATAAAGTAACTTAAATTTGGCCGGTTTTTGTTCCAGTTGGCTGAGAAATTAAAAATTTGAATAACCTGGTTATTTTCCCCCACTTCTGCTCCACAATTCATTTTCTGGAATCGTCAAAATTAATGTGATTAATTTTAGTAGAATTTTATTCTTGTTATAAGTTTTTTTTTTATTAATTGCCTTCTTCTTTCAAAGACTATTTCAGTGAAAGAAAATATGATTTAAACAAAAATTGTCTAAATTAGCAGCATTTCAGAAGTGTAGCTGCCATTTTATTCAATAATGGCTGCAACTGGAAAATTAAAAAATGGTCTGAAAATGATCTTTGGAGTCGTTTCAAGCAAATTTATCCGAATTTTTGAATGCAAGATATTTTTAGAAAATTTCAACGCCCTTTACGCTTTACACCAACTTCTATTGTGAAATGAATTTTGGCTGGAAATTTCATTTTACGATCGGATCGAATATTCGCAAAAGGTGTAACAACGAGGCGTGTGCAAATCCATTAAATGCGGACGCAACAACACCGCAACAGACACGGCGCGTCATCGAACAAAGCGGTCTGGTGCGGTCTGGAATTCCATCAGTATCATTGGGGGCGGCAATGATGCAGGTCGCTGTCAATAGTCGAGGGCGTTTCATCAATATCATCGAGATAGCGAGCCGCGGAATAAAATTCCGGCGCCGCCACACGCACTCAACTGAGCCTCTCCATGCGATCGGTTTTCCGTGTCAAAAGGGAACACAAGTGCGCGCCGCGACCCTCCAAATACTGCCAGGTTGGAAATTCTGCAGGACGCCTGTCGATTCACTCGATGAAACCGCCAGAACGTGACATTTCAGTTAAATTACGACCCTGCAATGATTTTCACTCATCCGATATGTCAGTTTATTCTATATTATTATCAAAAATATTTTAATTTCTAACCAGACTGCATTTTTCACGTCAAATATTCATAAATTTAAACAGATTAGAAGTCGTTCTTAGACCTCAATTTCGAAGTCTTACGGCTATAAAGATTTCCTACTAATTTTTATAGGTTTTTTCAATGATTCCTTGTTTAAAGTTTGAATTTAATTCTCCTTTTTTCAATTATTTTCAATTTTATTAAGTTACATTCAACTATATCCCATTCACGGCCGCTTTTTCATTAATTTATTTGCTAATTTCAGCGAATTACGTAATTATCGTCTCTCTTACACGGCGCCAAAGTCAAATGTTGGCCATGTTTCGGAACAAACAGCACGTGTGGATTATTTGAGCGAACGGACTGGGGCCAATAATGATATTGCCTCGCCGGGCTTTGAACAGAGGCAAATATTTATCCCGCTAATTAATACCAAACAACAATGGCCGTGCGACCGAACGGCCAACGTATAGCATAATGAATATTTATGCATGGCAAGCTCCATCATCGCATCGATTTTCCATCATCGGCAGCCACTGACACACAGAGCCGCGCTCAAAATTCGGCTCGCTCGCCTCGTCTCATAATTATTTATCGGGGCGATGATTTTTTTTACCCTCGCCCTTTGTCTTTGATAAACACTAGGCTGGAAAAAGGGGCGCGAAATTTATACACACAGCGCCTGCTTTGTGTCAAAGTTTGCTTTGTTATTAAATTGCTTTCGCGCCGAATTTGCGACGGCCCGCCTTGCAAATTGCACCCGACAGCCTCGCGAAATGAAACTCGTGCAAAATTTATGTAGCGACCTTTTTTCATCCACGTCGCTCCAACGGGCATGATGGAAATTTGTTGTTAAAAGTCAGCGAGAGATAAAATATTTCTTCATATTTTTATATCTCAACTTGATAGAATTTAAATGATATGTAAGAAAAAACAGAGTTTCAATTTAAAAATTCAACAAGAATTGAAATTTTAAGAACGCGGAAAACTTTTTAGCCGCCATTCTTAGAACTTGAATAAAGAACTTTATATTGTAATTTTAAAAATAAATTATAATAATAAACTTTTTGGCTCAACTATGAATTAAATGGCTTGAATCAAATTTCTTCTATTGAAACTTTCTTATTTTAAAACAATTAGCTGTTGATTTTTGATCTATTATAAAGTTTTTAAATTATCTGCGCTTGTGCTTTCAGAAGAAATAATCAGAAATTTTCTACTTCAAGCAAAACGACGAAAACAATCTCTAAATAACAATTTTGTCTTTTTTTTTTTACAAATATTGACACAATGGAAGTCATTTCGTTAAAAGTAGAATATAAACGGAGGAAGTTGAATTTACGTCGCAGGTTGAAGCGTTCCGGCCTCGAGGGTTAATTCAAACGATGGCAGCCGTGCATAAATACGGCAAAGAGCGAAAACATGTAAGCAAAAGACTGTGTTATGAGTAGTTAAGTTGATATTACGACCTGCTGATGCCATTCGCTCTCTCTGGAGTGGCGCACAATCCCGAGCAATTTGCAACGAGAGGGCTCTCTTTGCTCTGCTGCTTTACCCTGGAGCGGCGACGTCTTTAATTTATGTGCGGGATTTAAATCTCCCTTGCCGGCGAACTCTCATTTGTTATTGCACCAAAGGCCGCGCGCCGCCACTCGACGGGCCAAATTTAACACTTCTAATTTCGTAATTTCGACGCGCACTCTGAGAAACTACCCGCATTAAAGAGCAACCCTCGAGCGTCGCAACCGCCCCTTGCTCCGGAATTCCGTGTTTTAATTTTGAACTAATTTAAAAAAAATAATAAATTAAACTGCCCGTCCAATAAAAAAATCTTTTACTAAGAATTTTAGACTTAAAATCCGCAAAAGTAAAATTGTAGGTCTCAGGTCAAGGACACCACTTTTGGTGACTTTTGATTTGACCTCAAATTCACTAAAATTGAAAAATTACCCAGGATTTTTGTTTTAAATTCTAAAACAGAACATGTAATTTGAAGTAAAAATCAACATACTTAATATTTTTTTATTATTAATAGAAAATCATTATTAGAAAATAAAAAACTTCAAAATTTGCGCCTGAAAGAAATTTTAAATATGCAGCTCGCTTCTCACCTGTGTCAAGCGGGTTGCCTACCTTGCACTTATTATTTTTTTTTAATTGTGGGCGCGGTGTCGGCTTTTCCGTGTTCTAAACTGGAAATCGGAGCGCCTTGTTTGCTCGGCGTCGTCGCGTAATTGTGCGTGTCTCTCTCATTAAACGGACGCGCCGAGTGCGGCTGCCTGTTTAATTGATCGTAATTATAAACCGCAACCAGGAGAGGTAGGGAACGAGAGAGCGAGCGTCTCTCCCATTCAAATCCGCAGCCGCATCTTGCGCGCACAAATAAATTCATTAACACACGCTCGAGACGAAATCGCTTTCTGCCGCACGAAGAAGGAGCTTTTCAGGCAAAGCATCAACACGCTCAAGAGGCGAATTCTCATTTACGTGCGCGCAGGAGAAACAAACATCTTCCGCGTCCTAATTGCTTTCTGAAAATTACAAAATTTTATCGCACAAGAGCTAAAATTTTATGTTATTAAAATGTAAATGCCATTTTTAATTTTTATAATTTCAAATAATTTTTATTAATTTACATTGAAAAAATATGAATAAATGCGCTCATTATTCGCATTGAAGAATTTCTTAACCAAATTAAGTCATTATGGATTTACTTTCTAACTTTACATTTACTTTGAAAGTTGGACCAAAGAAATTTCCATAATTTCGGTTGATCGCTTGTTTTCTGTGAGGAATTTCGGCTAATTAGTACGCCGACCGCTTGAATTAAGTTGTGAGGCACGTTCGACCCCTTTAAGTATGCAACCCGAGCCGCGTGCACGATGATAGATAGATACGCGGAAAGAGCCTCTTAATAAATATATTCCCCGCTATCCCGGCAAAAGTTTCACGAGCGGCGAAACTTTTTAATGAAGAAAAACATGGCGGCCGCCGATATATGTACGGCGCTCTTGATAAAATATATATTGAATTATCTTTTCATCGTACGTCCGTCCAACTACTGCTTTATTACTGCTTATTTAATCTTCTTCAAGAGAGGAAAAGAAAGAAAGAGACGCGGCAGCAAAAAATAGTGAAGAACTTCGCGATAAGCCGAATTACGACCCAACTTTGCCGATAAGTGAGCTCGTCAACAACCCTTTTTCAGATATGCGGCGGATTTTATTTGTTATTTTTTCCATTTCAAAAAAATAATCATTTTATAGGAAATATCAACTGTTTGCACTGATTGAGTTTGATTGTTTCGGAAGCCGTAATTATTCCATCAACAAAAATGTATTTTTTATTCTTTACGAAAAAACGTCACAAAGGTGGGTGCGTATCCGTGTCGAGGAGGCGGGCAGGCAATCAGCGAGCGCCGTTCGCTTTCATTATTGTGGCGCTGCCTACCTTGGGCGTATAAAAGTTAATTAAAAAGTAATCAAAATTTAACGGGTTTCCTGCGAGCCACTTTGACACAGGCCGAAAGGTTTCTCCTCGACGATATCGCTCTCATTTATCTCGATTCGCACACATACACGGCGCGCTCGTAAAATTCGCCCTCTTTTAATAGTCCCTCGCCACCTCTGGGTGCAAAAAAGGGCAAGGACAAAAATCGCCAAAACGGTTTTACATCCAGTTCAAAGTTATGAAGTTTTGATTCTTTATTGAAATAAATAGGCATATAAAAAGACGATTTCAACGATTTATAAAAAAGTGATCTTAAAGTTAAAAAAAAACTAAAATTTAAGAGTTTTTACCAATTTACTCACAATGGCTGCCAGAAAAAATGTGTGTCGATTGAAGGCAAGTTTGAAAAATTAAATTAATTTATACTTTTTTCAACCTTTTTAAAAGAAAACCTATTTCAATGAACATTATATTCCTCAACTTGCCGAGACAGTCACGTAGTTGCGAAGGTAATAAAACAATTTCGCTTTTCCCCAGGTGGATTAAAATTGTGACACTTTGCTGCTGGGGGTAGGCTCTGGTGACAATCGTTGTGCGCCACCAACGGATAATTACCTCTCCGCTGGCTGCGACTGAGTAATTGCTCTTTCGCAATTAACATCAATCCGTGAGCGAGAGAGAGAGAGAGAGAGATAGAGAGAGCGGCGACGATGATGAGTTTGCGACGTGCCGCTCTTTGGTGTGGTTTTCGCCTCCACCCGCCACGCACCGAATTTCGCATGCTAATCACGTACTGCAAATCCGTCGTGCGAACCTTCATTGAAAAATATACCCGAGAGAGGGGGATAGAAAGGGTTCTGGTGGAGGCTAGGAAAGTCAAATATTTAAAAATAATTTTTTTATTTTGAATTAATTTTTTCTCTAATTTTTTATTTTATTTTATTTCATATTTTTACCTTCATTATTATTAAATTTTTTTTACATAGTATTTTTTTTCTTTAATTTTTAATTTTATTTATTTTTTTACGTTTCGTATTTTTTCCTTTAATTTTTATTTAAAGTTATTTTTTTTTTACATTTTGTATCCCTTTTGCTAGCTAATCTTCACTTTCCCTTCACCATATTTTTCCACATTATTTTTCACGTCACTCCTGATTAAAGTTTGATGATGCGACTCGATCGGTGTGTTTGTTTACAATGTTTGTGCCGATCTGCGGCGTCGTCCTGATTGGATTTTCTTTTTACTGGCGGCGCCGCATTTTCGTGGGCCGTGAGTCGGAGAAGAAAATGACAGCCGGAAAGTCGCTCTTGTGTGTCGTTGTGTATCGATACGGGATTATATTGTCTCTCTCTTTTTATACCGCTCGTCACATGTAGTGGTAAAATCTCATCTCTGGCGCTGACAGTCCGAGAGTGGCGCAAAAAATGCGTGTCTGCGCCAGCAGAAAGCAACGACGAGAGAAAGAGAGCTGCTTACTTATCCCGCCGATAAAAAGAAATCTCGCGGCGATGGAGAATGTTTGTGAAGTCCCATCGAGCAAACATCGCTGCACGTCAAATGTATATACCAAAGCAGAAACATTCTGCCAGATGTGTAATCGAAATATTAAAGAGGCTGCGCGTGACGTCCTTCACTTTGATGGATGAGCTTCAAACTTGCTAAATTTTCTCTTATATTGAATTTTAAGTTGATGCAAATCGAGTTAAAACTTGAAGTGAAGAAGTTTGAAATTAGCTCAATCTTGTAAATAAATGAAAAAATTACAAACGATTTGCATTCTTTTTATTGAATTTGAGAATAGAAAATTTTGTTATTAATATTATTGTTCATTTTTCTTAATTTGTCACATTCTGTACATTAATTTCAATTATCAATTTTGCCAATAATTTTGTTACAAGCTTGATTGCAAGTCATACATTTTAGATTCTTTGAAACAATGAGGGATCATTCAACAATGGAATTAATTTTTCATTGTTGTTGGATCAATCAAAATGTTGCCATTATTTCATCCAAGATGGCTACCAGTTCGGAAATTTGCATAATTAGTGTACACAAAAATCATTTCTAGGGCATCTTTGAACTTTTCTTGGAAAATTATGTAATACGGGAAGTATTAATTTTGACTCTCTAAAGATTAAATATAAAAACTTAAAAAGACGACTGAAAATCAATGTAGAGCAGTTTTATATACATTTTAGCAGTCCATAAAACGTTGCACAGGATGGATATTATCCGGCTGCTTTACCTCGGGAATTTACGGCGCCGTTAAATACAATAAAAGTCAATTTCGGCCTTCTAATAAAACGGCCGTAAAGCGAACGAAAAGCCGGCGCACATATTTCACATGCGAAACTCGGATTTTATTAAAACAAGCCCGGGGCGAATTTCTCTTTGTGCGGCTCGATTTCATCGCCGGCTCAGCCAGTGTGCGCAACTTATTACAACGTGTGTGTCCATGTACTCGAAAGTACATAAGGCTAATATTGGACTATAATCTGGAGAGGAAAATCGCTTTGGCAAATATTAACACGGCTCGGATTTATCACAATCGCTCCCAATTTATTGTCTTGAAATTTGCACAGCTCTCTTTGATTAAAGCACATAAATCACTCCCTCTACAATCGAATTAACTCGTCTCTCTATCTCTCTCTTTCTCTCTCTGCGTGCGACCATCCTCAAAGGCGGAGAGAATTTTCCTCTTCGCCGACGGTGCAAATGGAATTTTGAAACTTTCTGCCGAACGCCGAGCAGACTTAAATCTGTTTGCCTGTAATTAATGGGATTTTGACGGATTCGCACAAGTTAAATTGGAGTTTGATTGGCAAATATAAAAGTCAATTCAAACAAGCTAGATTAACAGTGACAAAGGAAATGAATCTATGGAATATTATTTATAAATTTATACCTAAAGATCCTCCTAAAATCAAAATTTGATTTTGTTTGATTCGTATAGTTTTTCCTCCATTATAATGTATCTGAAAAATTAATGTAAAAGTCTCACAATCAAGTTTTAATTCTTTTTTCAGTTTAAATTAATTAGTTTTTTTTATAGAAGAAACTCACTGATTAAATTCCACTGGATTTGAACTGAAAATCACTTCCAATATTTTTGAAGTTTCCACTTCAAATAATTTGTTATGTAATATTTATTATTTTTTCGTTTGAAAAAAACTCCCACAAACCTTAGTGAATTGATGATATACCGTGCGTGATAGAAACAATCTGATATTCTAGCGATTTTATTAAATTCAGCAGTTCCTCTTCTCCTTCACAAACCTAAATAAAATTCCAAATTTCAATGAATTTAAAAAATAAAAAAATAAAAAATAAAAAAATTCTCAAAACTTAAAATTTAATGTTTTTCCTTACTCTTGCTGTGAAAAGGAAATAGTTTAACAGCACCGTTCCTAGTATTGCAAAAATGATGTAGAGGACGAGGGCGATCGTCAGGTCCCTTTCCGACCACCTCGTCTTTGAATCAACTTTGTTTATCTTGGGCAGTCGAATTTCAACTGAACTTTCAGAAGCGGCCCAACGGGAACAACCTGGAGCAGCAAATGGCCTCTCGTATTCGTCCATGTTTCAAACAGAATGAGCTAATCACAAGGAAACATTAAATGCCGCAATCTAATCGGTTTTCCTGCCTTTGAATAAAACAACCACAAGATCTCTAATTGTGTCAATGTTATCAGTTTAAAACCATAGAAAAAATTAATTATTTTATAGTTTGGTTCTTAATAATTTATAAAAAAAAATCATATAAAGAACAAGAAGTGTAAAAAATCTTTCTTCTGAATGAAAATTTTGAATTTTTTCAAAATTTGTCCAAAATCCCGAGTTAAAATTTGCACTGCACTCTTATTTATTCAATTTATGTTGGTCTTGTTCTCTTCTCTATGTAACTGAGTGAGTGGGAAAAGTATCCAAAGTTAATTTTCTCCGGAGAGTGGCCGGGCAGGCCTTGAGAGACAGAAGTGAAAGAGCTCGCGAGCAATTCCGGCCGGAGATAAATTGGCGTCGTTAAACGGTGCGGGGCCGACGAGAGCGAAAGAGAAGAAGGGAAAATTTGCCGCCCTTCTTGCCACTTGTCTGTCAGCCCGTTGGTTTATCTCGCACACACACACACCAACCAACCCTTTCTATTATTTTCTCTGCATTACCAAAAGCATCGACCCTTTCAACTCTGCACCGAAGAGCAAAAGAATTCGCAAAAACGTGCCCTATCTCGTAGCTGCCGTCGCCCGTCTAATTATGCCTCAGACGTGCTCTCCCCACGCACCCTCTGTGCTACTCAAACGATCAATTTTTGACATTTCGATCAAAATTTAAAGATTTTTAAATTTAAACTCTGTGCTTTTAAATTTCCATTATTCCGAGAAATGATAAAGTAATTTTGAGGTCGCAAACCACCCTTCAATTACGGACTGAGGAAAATTGCCGTATTGATATCCGGCACGACTGCACGTCGCGGCACGCACCACTTGGCCCAGATAATGCGAAACAAATGTACGAGCTCAGAGACTTTGCTTCGTCGTGTCTCCTCTCCCTGATGAATTGATTTCATATGCAAATAATGCGTCGTCTCGCGACGTGTATAACATGTTTACGGATGGATGGAGCCGTTGCCAGGCGCGATTCGCACTCAGGAATTCACCCGCCACCGAACACAATAGGTAGAGAGATGCGTGCGGTCGCAAATTCTCCGCCTAATGTTTGCGAAATTGGAATTCCCACCAAATTCAATCAGTTTATTTCTTCATTCTTTCCTGATTGCTTTGAAATAAATGAAAATTACTGAAAACAGAATGTAAGGTTTTTTTTTATTAAATTGATAGAGCTGGAGTAATTGTCATAAAATTAGATTAGTTGATGTTTCTTAAAGGAAAGATTAAAAACTGGAACAACTTTTGAAATTTCAAGTTTTAGAATGACTGAAACAATAAACAGGTTTCCTGCTGCAAATTTGAACTTTCAAGTTCATTAATACCGGTAGAATTTAAGTTTGTTATAAAATTAATTATATGCAAAATATCTAGAAAAAATTGTCAAGATTTGCATAATTTAAATTTCCTTAAGTTCCATTTTAATAAGCTTATAAAAAGTATCTGATATTTCTTGAGCAATCTTAATCTTATTGCCGAAAATATGAAAAGAGATGTTTCTGCATCAACTCAATTAACATTTTCAAAGAAATCAGTTATTAAAAATCTAGTGAATTAGGATAATTAAGTAATTAGCAACTAGAAGCAAAACGACCACAGTAATAAAATTGTGCCAAAATTTTAAATAACTGAAAATCACCAATATACATCTTGAAATAATTGGAAGAACTGAAAAGAAGATTTAAACAAAAATCATAAAGTACATAACCAAATATTATGGAAATAAAGAACCTAATTTAATCTATAACATTTCACGGAACCAATTCAATTAATTTTAATTAATTAAAAGAACCATTGCCAAATAGGAAAGGTTCCATCAAATTTAAAGAGGATAACAGTATTTTTTCCTCATTAAATGGCAATTTGGAGAATCTCTTCTCTTGAATGCCTCAAAATAAATTCGGCGCCCATTGAAATTTCGGGAATATAAGCGGATCATTTCTAGTGTAGGGTGCGAGTTGAAAGGGCGCTCCGTGAAGAGCACTTTGGTAAAAGGCGGCTGCTGTCAGCGAGTCTTGATTTCGAAGGAGTTCTCGTCAAGGGTCGGCGTCGGTTGCGTCGCGATGTGATTTTCAACGCCGTGATAGGGGCAGGTGTATCTCTGGTCGGCAATCAGGGCGGCGAACGCAATCCGATATCGCAGCCAGGCCACTTGAAGCGGGGCGCGCGCGATGGATGGATGGTTGACCCGGCCGGCCGATATATATTGGCCAGAGCTGCAAATAATCAAAACCGCAGCAAACATGGCCGCCACCGGGTCACGGATTTTAAACCTTCAGACTATCAAAAATTAATATTTTGACTTGACAAAAATCCATTTTTTCCTTTATTTGAATTTAAATATCTTATTTAAGATTGGATAAGTTTCAAAATTTCTGCAAATTTCTGAAGATAAAATCAACTGAAGCATAGGAATAAACTGGGATGTAAATTATTTGAAACTACTTCAAATAATTATCTTGGATAACTATTGAAATCACTTGCAAGAAATCAACTTCAATTAGAAAAGAATAACTGACAAAACTTACATAATGGAAATGAAAATGGAAGTTAATATAATGTTTTATAATTAAGCTTAACCCTTTAAATTGTCATTAACAAATACAAAATCAAGTTCATAAATTCATATTTGCATTTAAATTAGTGCCATTTTTTAAAAATTCATTCAATTTGAATTTTTATATACAAGTTTATTGGGTGAATAAATATTTTTGAAATTAAAATTCGCCTTCCTTTGATTTTCCTGTTCGCCGAACACTGCCCACTCGCGAAATTTCTGCGGACTCCGAGCATTCGCCGCCAGCCAAGTGGCAAACAGACGCTCCACATTTATCCACGCGTGCGTGTGTCCGTATGTGCACCTATACATTTGTCGTCTATTTCGGGAATAAACACGAGAGGGATTTTCGTGCAAAGCCCGATACACTGCGCTGGACAAATAACCTGTGGATTTGAAAAGAGTCTGTGGGGATTTGCGTGCCGTGCTGTTGCCAAAAGAAACGACTTTCGCCTCGCTGCTCAATATTAAATGTACATTCGTTTTTTATTTATTCCTCGTAAATCTGGAGCACTTGAAAAGTATGAAATCAAAGAAGCACAGATTTAATTGGAAAAAATGAATTAAAATTAAAAAAAAAAACTTGTAATTTTTGTATTTAATCTGTATAAATGGAATGATTTAATATTTACTAGAAAAAATTTTAAGTGGAAATAATTAATAAATTTCCAAAAAATTTGAGGTTTGTAGAATTTGCTATTTCAGTTTTATTTATTTAACACAATAAATTAGTAAAATTTCAAGGCTGTGTTTTATTTTTATGGAAAAAAATTTTAAAAATAAAAATTTAAAAAGTTGAAAGTGTTTTGTAAAAAAGTGATTTTAAGTGAAATCGGCGTTAGTTAAAATAAAAAAATGTTAAAATGACTTGTTTTTCCTTTCCTGAATGAATAAAGAAATCTAGTGAGTTGTGAAAACTTTCCACTTTGGCGTAATGAAGAGCGGATTCCGCCGCAAAAAGAGCCGGTGGTCATTTTCACTGGCGATCTTTTTGCGGTGAAACTTTGTCCTCTCGGTACGGCCGACCGCAAATTGTTGCAAAACAGAGAAAGACCGACTGTTGCTTCGCCGAGAGAGCAGGAAGCGGTCGGTGATTTTAAAAACGGCGCGCGTAAAAAAAGAACAGTGGTGCACACCAAACACTCGAAACGCGAAAGTGGACTTGTTGTTGTTGGTTTTGTTTCGCTCTCGGCCTTGTTTGCACTGCCAGATGTAAAAAAGAAGCACACCCTACGCGTCTCTCAGCGCCCGAGGAACATTTTTCATGTTTATATATACATAACACACGTGGGCTGTTGAAACTTAAGAGGCTCAACTGCCGAGCAGATTGCAGTATAAGAATTTTTTTTATCAATTTCTGAGAACTTTTCAGTAACTTATTATGGAATTTGACGTCGCTGTTAACTTTGAAAATCAACTTAAGTAGAATAAAATCTCATTATTATTCTCTCAAAGTGTAAAATTAAAAAAAAAAAAAAAAAAAATATGAAAATTGAAATTTGGATTCATTTTTAAAATTTTTTGAATTATAGAATTATTAAGGTGCAAAGTTTGTATCAAAACAAAGCCGCTTACAATAAGAAATCTTGAACTGATTTTGTAGTTTTTGTAAAGAAAAAATGTCCAACAAGTTTTTTTCAAAATAAGACGTAAAAATCATTGATATTTTTACGGTTTCTAAATATTTAAAAACGATAGTAAAAAACATCACATTAAAAAAGTTACTAAAGTATTTGATTTTTATATGTTCAAAGTTCAAACGGAGAGGAAAATGAAACTTGAATCTGTCTATGTATTACTGGTGGTTTTCATCATTAGCACGTTTCATTTTCAACAGATTGCGTCAAATCAATTCACTTTTGGCTCATTCAACACTTTTTTGGTGCGCGCGTGTGTCAAACAAAGGGTGAAATAAAATAAATACCTGCAGGCTTCATTTTCCGGCAGATTAGCAGCAGGCTCCGCACTCTGATTACAAAAGGCTCGGTTGACATTTTTTAATCCACGCCGTCCTGTTTGATGTGTTTCGCTGGCGGATTTTTAATGAGAGGAGTGCCCACATTTGCAAACTGCGTCTCTTACACTCGCAAAACTCCATGTTTTAAATTTATTTTATCATTGGAAAAAAATTAGTAATTATAAAATCAGAAAATCTGATTCGTCATAGATTATAAATAATCGTGAAATATCAGAGTTTAAAAAAAAATTTGATCAATTTTTGTTTGTTTCATATAAACGCAAAGTGGAAAATTTCAACTGCTGCGAATGCTTTTAGTTTCACGTTTAGTTAAACTCGGCACAAAGCGTGTCGCTCTCTCTGTTTTTCCGTTTTGATTTCGCAGAGAGGTGGCGTTGGAAATTTTCGAGTGGTGCGAAAAAGGGTTTATGACGCTCGTTTGTTATTGTTGTTATTATACGATGACGCGCGGCGGGCCGTGTTGTTTTGTTGTTCTGCACGGACCGTGTACAATGCATCACACGGACGCGGTGTGACGTGCCGACTAATATTGCTCTCGGCCGGACACATTACTCGGGCCGGCGCATAAATTATTAATCGGTCTGCAGGGAAACGCGCGCGCGGCCATTGTTGAGTGCCGGCCGCATAATTCAGCTACAACAATCTGCATGCGTCGGCTCACTCGCGTGTGTTGCAACTTCGTGTATGTGTGATTTATAACTTTAATTAACATCAGCTGTGCCGTGAACTTTGCAAACATTTGCTCGGTGTAATTTAAACTAACTTTGCAAAATATGAAAATTAAATTTTAATATGTTTCAATGAGAGAAAAATTTTAATCCAAGAAATGAATAATTCTCAATTCCAAAATTAAATTTTCTTTTAGAGTTCTGTGAAAATGTAAATCATGATAGGATAAAAATTTATCGAAAATTCTTAATTATAATCCTTAACTTTTTCTATCAATCTCTCCTCTCTAATTAATTATATAGATATCCCATCTCTTTTTATCCTCTATAATTATCAGTTTAAAAAACTGACCATTATTGGTCATTGACATTTGACACGTGGTTGATTGTGAATAAAAAAAAACTAGCTCGCCGGTTATTCATTGAGGCTGTCCGGGTGTGCATTAATTTCAAAGTGGCCTCGATTCCTTTGGGCATCGCTGGCCTAGTGTGTGTGTCGGAATGCATTTGCATGCAAATGCAGCGCATTAATTTGCAGCCGGGCCGCCGGGAGGCTGAGTGTGCCCGGCCGGGCGCACCGCCATGCAGAGAGAGGGGCCAGGTATGCGATTTCACGCTCATTAAGCGCGACCCGCAGCTCAACAGCAGCACACAATTGGATCCGACCGGTGCGCGCTCTCTAATTCGATTCCGACACACATGACGGCCCTTCACGAATTCTCGTCTAAATTTGTAATTTCTCTCGAACCTATTTTCGCATTTTATTAAAAAGAAAATCGATACAAATTAGGATTTATGCAACCCGGGCGTCTCGAAAGTACCACCGGCTGCATAACTCGGTATTTCGCAGGCGTTCCGATTGTAGGGGGAGTTTGTAATGAACTGGCGTGGCGAAACAGTCGTTGGAATTGGCAGAGAGTGCGAACAGATGTCGGGCGGAAAGCAATTTTCTCCCGCAGCCGCCGCCGCCGCCAGCAATCGACACTGTAATGAGAGCCGCCGCACAAACACGTGCGCAGCCGGAGAAAGCTGGAATATAATAAACTTATAAATCCACGCAATTATATTTTCGGACGCTGCAAATTTATTAATTCCCATAAATCGCCGGGCTTTATGGTCTGTGCTGCTGAGGCACCAATTGGCCTCATGAATACACGCCCTCTGCTGATTATGATTCACTGCCGCAGCGGTGCCAAAATTGGATTTCCCGGAAATATGAAACATAAACTAATCCAATTTGCAGAAGAAAAGCGAGAAGATTGTTTTTTAACTAAATCAGTTCAAATTCGTTCTGGTTCTCTCGGTTAAAACTAAGCATGAAAATAATGGAAATAGAAAAAAAAAACTATCAAATTTCATCCAAAATATCAATATTTTTGTCAGAAAAAACTTTTAAATAGTGAATTAATTTTTTTGACCAGTTGGATTTTCTGGTTTTATTTGCAGACGTGTTGGCGGCGGTGCTGGAGGGCCAGGGGCCGATGATCATTGTGGAGCCGCCGGCGCGCCTCGAGTTCACCAACAGTTCGGGGACGCGGCTCGACTGCACGGCGCAGGGCAGTCCGGCCGTGTCCGTGACCTGGTCAGCCTCCGTCGGCCTCAACGGGCTGAGCTCGAGTTCGTCGGGGTCGCAGCAGCAGCCAGGGCCGGTGCCCAACGTGCCCGGCCTCCGCCACCAACTGCTCAACGGCAGCCTCCTCTTCCTGCCCTTCCCCGCCTCCGCCTACCGACCGGACGTCCACGCCTCCGCCTACCGCTGCGTCGCCACCAACTCGGTCGGACGCGTCCTCGGCAGGGAGGTCAGACTTAAAGCAGGTCAGTCCCTATTTGTGCCAAATAGAATAGAAAATAAATAGGGGAGGGATCAAGAGATAAGCTCAAATTTTGTAAAATCTTTTAAACGGCTGATAATTATCTTCAATTGTCATTTGACTTTTTCTTAACCGAAAAAATCTTATTTTACGCATCTTTGAGTTTCCTAAAAATTAAAAAAAGAATTTTAGCAGCAAATATTGATTATTTTCTCAAATAATTTAAATTATATTGAGCTTTGAATTTGATGCGATGTGCTAAAGTTTATTTTATGCAACAAAATATTCCGATTCCATCATATTTTCAATAATTTGTTGTTGTTGAGGATTTATAAAATTCTAGTTGATCCTCTCTGATCTCTATTTCACCATTAATTGAAACGAAAGCTCTCTCTCTCTCTCCGCCGGTAATGCGGAGCAAAATTCTCTCCCGATATCAGCGGAGGCGGGTTGTATGTGTATTTTTGAGCGTGAGAGAGCAGACAGAGGTTGGATCGGAATGGAATAATCACGATCCGATCTGAATGGCGGCACTGGCGGAATATACTCGGAATTTTCCGGTCGAGCGGATCAAACAAATAGATATGCACAACATCCAGCAGCGTATATAATTTAATCCCCCAACAACACTGAAATTGCGATTTTATCTTTGCGCGCGAATGCTTTTTTCTTGTTTGTACAATTTCGCGTGTGTTTGCAAACGAATGAGGTGCTAATTCGCAGCTGCGAGAGCAATTTTTTATATGTTTTCCCGCCGGTATTATAAATTATTCGGTAGCAATCTCTACCCTTAATTATGGCTGCGAGCCCAGCGTGACTGACTGAGTGAGGGCAGCGCAGGTGGAATTGCTAGTTCGCTCCACGGTCGACAACGTTTGGGCAGTCTAAGAAAATACTTCTTGAAAATCTTGAAGATATATTATCTTGAGACCGTAAGCCTTCGAGACCGTAGGCCCTTGAGACCGTGGAGGCCTTGAAACAGAAGGAATTTGCTACGTTTCTATTGAATCTCGATTGAACATTTATATCAAAAAATATAACATCATCCTGCATTATATTAATATAAGTTACATTTCCTCCTCTTTCAACAGAAATCGTTTTCTGTAGTTTTACTGTCTTAAAATGATATAATTGCATTTTTCAACGCTCTTTTTAAATAAAAATTTTACGCTTTCGCTGTACAGTGTAGCAAATAAAAATGATGAAAACGGCACACGGGTGTAATGAATTTCAAGCAGACACATTTTTTTCCACATGCAAATCCTTCTTTCTCTGCTTTTTTCCCGAGCACCGCCTGTGTGTATATGAATTTGAGCCTGACTGATTTTTCACGTCCCTGGCCGAGTATGTAGCGATGTGCGTGTTTTGTTGTTGCCGACGGAGCTGCTCGCTGAATTTTAAATTCACCTGATGCCTCTCTTTTATATTATTTTTATTCCCGCCGCTTCGTGGCTCGGTGACCTCGATATGAGGGAGAGAGAGAGAGACGAATTGTGCAGGCCTCCCTTCCCAGCTAACGGCGCGCGGGGGTGAAATGATGATGAACCCTCGCCGCCACCGGCGCCGACAAAGAATGCTGCCCAACGGTGATTGCGGAAATTTGGCACTTTCCAAATTAAATGGAAATAAATGTGAAAATTCTCGGTTTTAAAATTTTTAATTACTTCAATCCACTGATTTCCTGCTCCAACTGTTCTGAAAATCAATTCATACAAAATCTTATTTATTAAAATTTTATTTTAAAAATTCTTAAAAGAAATGCTTAAAACAGTATGGTTAAAATTGAAATTAAAAATTTAATAAAATAATTTTTATCATTTAATTTTTATTTTATATTTATTATAATATTATTTTAATTATTTCTTTACAACTTTTGTCTATAAAAGATTTTATTTTCTATTTAAAAATTACCAGAGAAGGAACATTTTCAAATATATACTTTGTAATATTATTTTTAATATTTATTATTATTATTATTATTTTTTTTAATAAAATATTATTTGAATGTGTTAACAAGACCGATGAATTTCCCGCAACTTTTCGCTTTCAGCTCGGCAAAGGAGCTTTCTTTGATGACCTCGGCCTTGCTTGCTTTTATTTCTCGTGCATAACGGTGCAAGACGGGGGCTTAAGCGCGCCGAGTGGCTTGTTTGTTTAAAACTGCCGGCCACTCTCGAGTCGCTCGTCGGACGTGTGTAATAAACTAAGTGGGATATCTCGGCTCGAAATCTGCACATGGACGGACGTGATGGAGTCTCGAGAGCGTCGCGTTTCAATTTTTGGTCTGCCGAGCACCGCCGTCAAATAAATTGACCCTTCAAAATGTTGCTCTCGTCGCAAATCAACTCACGCTTGAAAGGGAAAGCCAAAATCTGATATGAAAGAAAACATTCGATTGCTTTAAAAAATGTAAATAGATAGGATTTTCTTTTCACTTTTTTTTTTAGAAAATTTTCAAAATACAGTGATGAAAAGCATATTTTTTGTTATATAAATTATAATAATTCATTTAATTTATTTCTCTGCTTCAAAATTTTGTCCTCTGAAAGCTTTTCATGCTACTAAATTATTGTAATTTTTATCACTTCACACGATATTGTATTTTATCTGCAAATTTTGAAGTAAGGATAAATTTTATTACTTTTGTTCATATTTTAAACTGTTCCCATATTAATGTTCCAAATTTAATTTAAAATTGGTGTAAATATTAATTATATTGAAATGCAAAATATACTTGAAAATTGTTATATAATATCAAGAAATTTCTGCACTTTTTAATTGAATTGTTTTGTTTGTTCTGTTGGCAGTGGTGCTTCAGCAGTACGAGTTGCGGGTGAAGGGCGCGCTGGTGTCGCGCGGAAACACCGCCGTGCTGCGTTGCCAAGTGCCGAGCGCCGTCAAGGATTATCTGACCGTGACTTCTTGGCTGCAAGACGACACCTTCAATATTTACCCGTCCAGCGACGGAGGTAAGCGAAAAGATCTTTTCTTCTTCCTCTGCTCTCGGGGAGCAAACAATGGGGGCCGTAAAATTTATCGCGACGGCTCCGCTTTACGGTCCACAACATCATATCCGGCCGTAAATTTCAGGGCCCGAGACTCGCAGCTTTATTTCGGCAGATTTTCCCGTCCGATATAATTTCGAATCTGGCAGACTTATGGTCCGTGTGCGTTTTTCATCCTATACGCGACGCTCTTTACTGATCAAGTAAAGTTGGTAACAAATAAAAAAAATCAATAGAAACTATAAATTATTAGTCGCGCTCAAATTAGATATTAAAACAGTTGGCGTCCTAAAAAATTAAAAAATTTGAATACCAATCATGAGAGGGATGAAGTTTTTCAGAAAATGAAAAATCGATATTTTTAATCTTTTTTTGTTGTTGCATAATTTGCATATAGATCACATGATATTGATTGGCGTTTCGTGAATTAAAGACAAATTAAAATTCAAAATTTTCCTCCATTTTTAAAAATTCCTGGCAAATTAAAACTGTTCAAAGTTTCCAAATTTTGTTAAAAAAAAACGGTGTTTTAACATATCGTTAAAATCGACTCGACGAGACCGTTCGTAATAAATTTTTCTCATCAAATATTATTTTTACGCTCTCTTATTTAGATCAAAAATAATTATGTTTGCGTTTGTCTCCTTGCCAAAAATGGCGAGTGTGGCGAATTTAATCGGCAAGCAGAGGCTGCGATTCGATTATTCTCAAGTTGAACAATATATGCGGCGCTTTCGCTCGCTCTTGCCGAGTTCCATCTCATTTCTGGCGCGGCTTTTGACGTGCAAATCTCTGCTCTCGGGCTCTGTGCAAATAGGATTACACACTCCTCACGCCCACAGCCAGGCGCGCTGCAATAATAATCACGTCGAGGAGCCGCGCAAACAATCAACTCTCATTTGTTTTTTTTTACCCGAGTGTTTGAAATTCCTATTTTGAAAAACAAATATAATCACAAATAAAAGTGGGGTGGGAAATTTCAATTTTTAAGTAAATTGTCGTGAAATCCATCGTTAAATTTATAAAAAAAAAAGTACTTGAAGAAGTCGCTTATGTTCTCAAGAGGGTTTATTTTAATTTTTTTACTGACAATGAGACTCACCTGATTATAATAATTTTATTTTTTAATCATTTTAACAATATTTTTTAGCAATGCAATCATTTAAAGTGCTAGAAAGTTTTTTTTAGTGGGAAAAAATATGTGCTAAAAAAATTTGAGGTAGATTGGCTTTTCATGTGACAGGAATTGTACATATTGGATGACGTCAATTATTTTTCAATTAAAATGACGCAACCTTTATCTCTAACCCTTGCCCCTGCCCCTTGATCTTGTGTGAGAAATAAACAAGGACGATTATTGCCATCTTTTTATTAATTTCAGTCGTATAAAATACAAAACACTTGCTTGCAAATCTATAATATTATTATGCTAATTTAAACTGTCTTGCCTAATTTTAATTTATTAAAAATTTGATTTTTGGAAATCAAATGAATTCCTTATTTAAAATTATATTGTGATGTTAACATTATAATTTTATTCAAAAGTTAAGAGGTATTTTCTTTCCAGAATATACGGATGTTCAAAATAAATGGCAAAATTGCTATTTTTCTTGCAGATTTTCAAATACAAAAATATGGGTTCAATAGCATTCGCTGGGCAATTCGCAGATGAAAAACGACTTTCTGTTGCCGGAGCAGGACGCGCTGTAGAGATTGCTGAATTCATACGCCCTGATTTCGACGCAGCCGTAATTCTTGACGGTGCCGCTGGCCCACAAGTCGCTGCTTTCCTCCAATTTGGATCCGTCAAGCCAACGGTAGTCCAAGTGATTTTGGTCTCCAAAGTTTTTACCCGAAACCCAATACTCTTCACCGCCTTAAAAGTAATAAATACATTTATTCCGAAAACTTCGATCGGCTCTAAATTTGCTCACGATGGATTTCTCTCGCCTTCTGATGAACCGCGTCCAAGTCAATTCGGTTACTCACAGTAGCCAAGTGTAGGCCTTTGTCTGCGCAACTTTTGTTAGCTTCAGGCCAGAAAGTCTTTAAGAGCAAGATTAAGAAATTCATTTAAAGTCTTAATTAAAATCTCTTACTTGGATTGGGTTCGAAAAAAAGTATTGTTTGCCATTCGCCGCCGTCGTCAATGTGGATAGTACTGAAGATTCATCTAAATCGATGTGATTAGAAATTTATAGAAGAGCCTTTCAAAAATTTCATTGCTTAATGATAATTTAAAGTCATCAACATCATTTCAAAGAAAAAGATATTAAAAAAAAAATTGATAAATACTTTTTTTCTCAGTCTATGATGAAGGGAGGAATAAATTCTAAATTTGCTGCAATATACTTACAAGGCAGAGTGCAGTTGATCGGCCAGGGGGATTTTTTAAGTGGGACAACCTAAAATTTATTGTGTATCTAGAAATTTGTTTAAAATTGTCAATTTTTTTTACCTCGATGGGTAGTTTTGCCAGGTGATTCAGTTTTTGTATGACGGTCTGCAAAAGCTCCTGATTTGTTTCAGCCTCTTGCTTTACTCTTTCCATTGTCTAGTATGGAGTAATAAATATTAAAAATGTAACACAGAAAGTTATAAAAAATTCCTTTGAAATCGTTTGATTTAGTTTCGAATTTTTTAAATTTAACGATACCTGATTGAAGCGTTCGTCAACAAGTTTCGCCAAATCATTTAGTTTGTCATCGGTATTTTTCAAATTTTTCATCAGCTCCTGTTGAAACTCTGCCAGCTTCTCCCTTTCTTGGCGAGTCTAACATAAGATTTTTTTTAAATATAATTACATTTAAAGAGTAAAAAAGTCTCTTGAATAAATTTAAATCTTTAACATAATTTTTTATCATGTTATATTTTTGAGCCTAAATTTAAGATTAGAATATTTCCTTACCTGGTAATTGTTTGTTGGGTTAGTGGTTAGTACTGAGTTAAGGATGGCTAAGAGGCCCAGGAGCAACCGTAGAAAACGGTCCATCGTCTTATTCTCGATCCTTCGCTAACACAAGAAGAAGTGAATTTGCTTGGAAACCATCAGCAGTCGCTTCAAATAATCACAATGATCTTTGCCCTCAGGCCAAAAGCGCGAGAATAAAAAATAATTGGGCCAGCAGATTATTTTTTATGCAAGATACGATATATTTATTAATATTATCTTCATATAAAAAACAGCGTAAAAAATACTGTTTAGAGATATTTATTGGTGGTTGAAAAAAAAAACAATAATTCATTTGAAGAAGGTAACCTGAAATTTAAATTTTTTCACTTCTAGATCTTACAGGAAAAAAAAATCAGTGCAGAAATTATTATTGTTGTTTATTTGTCCAAAATGCTACATTACATTGTTTAAATCCAGTTTTTGAAAACAATTTAATTGAAAGAAAGGAATTGTTGGAAAAAAACGGCGCCACCTCAAGGAAGAATTTTTCTAAAACTTCTGAGATAAAAAAACTCTTCCGCCACAGTGAGCCAGTTCATCAGTTTTATATCTTTTTTTTTGAGTTTCTCATTAGCTTCATTGATACTTTTCAAAGAAATATCTTAAAATATACGGAAACAAATTTCTTTATTTTGTCTTAAGCTAAATTTAATGCAAACAAAGAGATGAGATGCACATCTTTTATCTGAGAAAAATGAGTAAGTTCAGTTTTGATCGCAACGCCAAATGATGCCATGTTAATTAAGCAAACATATTTATTTTGATATCTTTTTATTGTGTATTAATCGCCAAAAAATAAAGGCCAAAAAGAAAATGAAACTATTGTCTAAAAATTAAAGAAAAGCCATCATGTTTTTCAGTAGCATTCGGTGGGCAATTCGCAGATGTAATGGCTTTTTTCAGTGGAGCAGGACGCGCTGTAGAGTTTGCTGAATTCGTACGTCCTGATTTCGACGCAGCCTCTATTCTTGACGGTTCCATTGGCCCACAAGGCGCTGCTTTGCTCCAATTTGGATCCGTCGTGCCAACGGTAGTCCAACTGACTCTCGCCTCCGAGATTTTTCGCCGAAACCCACCACTCGTCCCCGCCTGAAAAGCAATACAATTTATATACCCCGAGAAGTTATTTCGGAGCGAAATTTTCTCACGTTTTATTTCCCTCGCTTTTTGATGAACCGCGTCCAAGTCAATTTGGTTGCTCACAGTGGCCAAAAGGAGACCTCTTTCGGCACAACTCTCGTTAGCCACAGCCCAGAAAGCCTTACAACGATCAGAAATTCACTTACTGAGTCTTAAATAAAATTACTTACTTCGGTTGGGTACGAGAAAAAGTATTTTTTGCCATTTGTCGCCGTCGTCATTGTAGATAATCCTGAAAACGTGTAAAAATATTCACTTTATTTTCAGAAATTATAATCAATTTGTTTGAATGGGTCTGAAAATTTTTGAATCGATAATGTGAATCTCTGTTTCATGAAAAAAATATATTTAAACATAAAATATTTTGCTCATATTCAATGAAAAATTTGGGGAAATTGCTCAAAATGTTGTTTATATCTTTAATTAAAAAAATTCATAAATTTAAAATATTTATGCTTACGAGGAAGGGTGCAGTTGATTGGCACGTGGAATTTTTTGATTTTACCAAGCTGGAAAACCTAATAATTATTCTATTTTGAAATTTGGTAGAATTCGCCAATTTTTTACCTCATTATCAGGAATTTGTGCCAGGTGATTCAATTTCTGAATGACGATCTGCAAGAGTTCCTGATTTGTTGTCGCCTTTTGCATGGTCTGAAGAATACAAATTTAGCAACTAAAACACGTGCCTTTAAATTTTTAGAGATTTAAAAGCTAAAATTATTCCCTATGTAAAATTGAATATGCAAATAAAACTCTTGGGAAACTTTTTTCAACATATATGGCACCTGATTGAAGCGTTCGTCAACGAGTTTGGCCAAATCGTTTAGCTTGTCGTTGGTCTCTTTCACATTTTTCGTCAGCTCCTGTTGAAACTCGGCCAGCTTCTCCCTTTCTTGAGCCTTATAAATGATTTGTTATTGAAACATAATTTAATGAAATTATTTATTCAGGTAGGAATTTGCGCAAATAAATTAAAATTCTTGGCTTTATCTATTTTCGAATCAACTTAAAATATGAATCTCTCCTTACCTTTGTTGACTGGTAATTGTTCGTTGGGTTGGTGGTTAGTACAGGGATAAGGATGGCAAGAAGGCCCAGGAGCAACCGGAGCAAACGGTCCATCGTCTTATTCTCGATCCTTCGCTAACACATGAAGTGGATTCGTATGAATTCGAGGTCGCTTCAATTAATCAGGCCGGTCTTTGCCCTCAAGCCGAAAGCGCTAGAATATTAAAAAGTATAATATTGGCTGACAGATTATATATTTTGTTATGCATTGCGTTTTTTATTATTAGAAGGACTTATCTTAAAACAGTTAAAAACTGTATGGAAATTGTAGTTATTGCTTTTTCAAGAAAAAAAAATTAAAATTTATTTGATAGAAAGAGAAGAAATTTTTTGAACATTTTCACCGGTCAATTATTGAAATAATGCAGCATATTAAAAAAAAAATCAATGGTATTTTCCAATTAATAACTTTCAGATCAATTATCTCCATCGCCCTTTTTGAAATCATTGCAAAAAAAGTTCCGATTAGACTTTTTATTTGTATATTTTTTTTTAATTCGCTCTTTTCCTCTCTTCACATTGTTGCCATAGAAACAGTCATTTGAGAGAGACGCAGTTTGAATTGAGGCAACAATCCGATGTGGAGGGTTTGAAAGAGCGATTGAAGGATTTGCCACGGTAAATTCTCATCTGGCCGCCGAGCAAAGCAGTGAATGGAACTCTGCTCGTCGTCGGTCGGTTGGTTTTGGTTTTCCGCGTGCACAAAAGCCCTTTCGAAGAATCGCACGGACTCCGGTGCTCTTTGTGCGAAACGGAACCGTCGTGTTCATAAAGACCGGTCGGATTTACACACACACAAGCCAAAAGGGGAGCAAATTATCGTCTGCGAATATCAAGTCAATGCGCGCACATGTTTCAAAGCGGCATACAAAAAAAAAATTGTGCGCGTTGCCCTATTGGTCTTTTAGCAGATAATTTAAAAGGTCTGATATGCTAAATTTTACATTAAACTTAAAATTATTTCAATTTCAGGTGTTTTGCAATTTAAAATCTGCACCCCAAAAATCTATATTGTGAAGCCAATACCTTTTTTAACAGGACGAGTACCCTAAGGGTGGCCCTGACTTTAATGACCTGATTGGTCAGTGGATTTTTGTTTCAAAAGATGCCAAACTTTTATTTTTGAAAACACCTTTTTCCAATCAAAAATAGAATAAATTCTTAGATACCTAATTTTTTTTTAAAAACTATGCATTTCAAAGCTAAAAAATTAACATTTTAAAAGGTCAAGTTAAAATTGACAATTATTATTATTAATTCTTTTTATTTAATTCAGTTCTCGCCCGCTTTATTCGGCAAATTAAAAGCAGATGGAGCGTAAAATTCTGACTGTCGTTTTAGCCAAAGTTGAAAGTCTTGTCGCGGCAGCTTGCGTAATTACATCACACAATGCTCGGAGGAAGGAAGAAAATGTGCAAAGTTTGGCCAAATCCCTGAGCAGTCGGCGAAATATGAGAACGTCGTCTCGCGGGACACGGCAGAACTTTGCGAACTACGTAATGAAAATTATACACCGAGAGTTCGCTGCAGCTGCGGTAATTCGGCCCGATTTTTCACAGCAACATTGATTGAGTTGCCTCGCTCGGCCTCTCAGGGGCGAATGGACGCAGGTCCGTTGATGCGGGTGATGGATCAATTAGGCCCCCATCACCACACACTCAGATACACGAAAACGCTATTATATCTGCCGGCAGATTTGACCCAGCTCGCAAAATCCCAACTATAACGATTAGACTATTTTTATCTTTACATTTAAGGAGTTCAAAATACAATCAATCCTGTATCATTTTGCTCAATTTTGTTGAATCTTTGAAGAGAGTTATAAATTCGTGCAAAAAAGGAAGTTTGGAGTAAAATTTAGTGAAATTTAACAACATTTTCTGTTGGAAAAATTAGTGGCTGGTTTATAATTGTTTTTTATTTTGTAGATCAAAAGTGTTGATGTAATTAATTTTTAAAATATACCGTTGAAATTGAATTGAAATGTTCAAGTCAATTCTGGTTTAAAGTAAACTTCATTATTTGTAACTAAAAATTTGGAAAATTAGTTTATTATTTCATTTAAATAATTATATTATTATAAACTATTTCAATCCTGCATCAATATAGCCTAGATATCAACATTTGGCTTAATAAGTAATCTTTTTTTTTCATATATTTATGTCGCAATCTTTTAAGAAATTGGCGGCAAATTAATTTTTCAACATTATCCACTGCCCCAATTTTTTACCTTTGTAACATATCGTTAGAATCGTCTTTTCAAAAGATATCCTACTGCGTAATCTATTTATTTGTTTGAAATTAGTATGCATTCCTTCTGATGATCAAATTACTGCTGCTCGTAAAAGTAAACAATGTACATTTACACAATTCGAAGCCGTCCGGTGCAAGCTGGTGCGGCAATAACAGGGCAAAATCACTGCTCTCAGCGTGTCCGAATTAGTGACATAACTTGCAATTACTCGCAGCCGTGTCGGTTTAGCTTCGCCAGCTGCGTCCCTTGCCGGGGCCGGAAGAAATGAGAGAAATGGCCGCCGCGTCCTGGCACTTAGCGAAACACAGAGACAACTTTTTGCAGAGGTGTATGACAAACTGAATTATTCACGGGCGCAGATGAAATTGCGCCCCGCCGTAAGGGACATCTATGAATTTTTGATTGCCAGAGTGGTTCCTTTTCCTGCTCTGCAGTAGGACGAGCGAAATGCAACAAGAAAAGGAAAGAGTGAAACGGATTTGTGACCGGAAGTTCCGTTTTGGAGACGAGAAATACGCTTAAAAGGATTTTATGTAATTTATCAGGGAAACCTAACAATCGGAAGGAAAGTTTTAAAGCTTTCAGAAAAATCGAAAGATTTTTGAGCGGCAAAATTTAAAATTTGAAAAAATATAGATACGTTTTTTTATTTAAACTGCTTTATAAAGAAATAAAATATGTCCGAACATTCAATAACAAATTTGATTATGTTATTCATTCCAGAATTAAAAATTAAATATTAATCCAAAGGAAATTGAACATATTTTTCGCTCTTGAAATTGTAATTAAAATTTGAAGTTGTTCTTATTGTTTTGAAACATGTGTTCCTAATTAAATGAACTTCCTGTTAATTTAAGTAATTATTAATAATTAACAGCACTTAAAAGCAATTGGTTTGAATCTGAGAATCCGCGAAACTCGACTTTTTAATTAAAAGACTTTCGCGCGCAAACAAACGCCGCGGCTCTTCGAAGTGGAGCGGCAGGCTTGCGAAAGTGATTACAAATTAATTAAGCGGCTTTGGCTAAATTAATATCCGCATGCGGCTTGCAGCAGCCTTGTTTACCACCAACAGAAACTCTCTCTTCTTGCTTTGGGCTGCGAGAAATTCGCAGTAGCGCACCAGCCACATTTCACGGTGTTTAACCCCAAGGTTAGAGTCCGGAAGTCCCTGCCGTTACATTTTAGGGGCGAAAATTCCACTCTTGAAACGGTCGCTTGTTTTTTTTTTGTTCTTCTGCAAGGGCGGGAAGTGATGAATTATTTAGCGGAAAAGTCTTCATTAGAGCAACTTTTGCGATTCTTCTCTCAGAGGTGGAAATGGCTGCACTGGGCCGCTGATTCCGGCAAACTTTGCATTGATTTTCATATTCGGCTCAAAACGCCACCCGCGAGACGCACCTAACACGGAGGGGGAACGTGCAAAACAGCAAATTCAACGCTTACAAGACTCCAGCAAGTTTGTTAAATTTTCATGCAAACTACGCACGAGCATTTCCTAAAACTTTAAAATACAAGAGAAAATTAAAAAGAAAAATTACAGATCAATTGATAATTTATGGCAATTTTCATAACATTTGACATTTTTAATTTGCTCAGATATTATAATTAAATTTATAATTTTGGCAGAAGATCAATTTCGCATTAAAATATTTTTTTATTGAAACTCATCTTTTTAATCTTCACATCAAAATTTTCATTAACAATTAATAGAAGAATTCTACAAAATTGTTTTAAAATTTATGGAATTATTTCTTTAAAAACTTTTCAGAGACTCTCAATTGCAAGATAAAGATAAATTTACCTAATATTAACTTCCGAATCAACACGTTTTATCAGTTTTACTTTATTGATTTTAATTGACAAATTTTGAATTTTTCTTTTACTTACTAGTCTTGTTTATTTTAGTTGCAAATGATATATTTCTTGATGTATTTTATTCTAGATTTACTTTTCTGCATCGCTTGAAATGTTATAAAAATGCATATCTGCATGAATCAGAGATAAATAAAAATAATTTAGCTCCTTTTTGGTTTTGCACAAAATTTCCATTAAAAAATACAACAATTTTTCATAGAAAATCCATAATTTTGAATATAAAGAGACCAATATCCTCAAAAATTGATGCAATTCATGATCTTAAAAATAGCCTGGATTTTTCGTTCAGCGATTGAAAATTCCTAGAGAAGCACACACACATATTTCCTTTTCACACTTGACACAATATCTGGAGTGATTGACGCGGGGTCGACCCTTTTCGTCTCAACTTCCATCTCTCGTGCCGCCGATTCCTTTCACACTCGGCTCGACCCGCAATAAATCAACTTTTAAAAGATTAATAACCAAAAGCTTTCTTCTTTTCACTCTCGCGCGATTTCCATCTCTGGTGAAAAAGCGAGTCAATGCATCGTGTCTCGCCCTCGCACCTTTCCTTTCTCCTTCTCATCCCGGTCTTGCCGCGGCGATAAATGACCCGCGCGCGCTGCCTCAAATGGAAATGGTTCTCGCCCGCCACGCAAAAACGGATATTATTATTTTTCCAATCATGACAGCGCACTTCTCCAGATTGCCATCGCCCTGAAATAAACGATGAGAGGAGACGCCGACATTTTTTCCCGCCGCGAATTTCGCATGTGCGGATAAAATTTCCTGTCTGCGTTTTTGCAAAGGGGAAATCGCCTAAGTGCGGCCATTCCCATATCTCCATCTTGGAAAACACATTTGCCTCCACAAATGGGAAAATGCACCTCGATCCAATAAAACTGTTGTTTAATTTTTGATTAGCATTTTTTAGTCAAGACGTTTCTTTGAATATTTTCCTTATTTATATTTTGAATTTATTAAATGACAAAAAAATTAAAGAACCTTTAAAACATTCCTCCAGTTCATGTGGATTGGATTTTATATTATTTATATTTTAAGCGTCAAGAGGATTTAAGGATCGAAGACTTCTTGAGAAGGAATTATTTTATATATTTGTATTTTGTGTTTATTTTATGTTATATGAAGAAAAATTCAATTAAAAAAAATTGAAAATAACTAATATCTTACACGGATAATATTGTTTTAAATTTTATTCACTAAAAGTCATATGAAATTTCCCATTTTTTTTTCTTCATTAAATTGATTCAGATAAGAGTGAGAAATGTACTAAAAAGTCTATTTAAAATAAAATGAGTAAATAATAATAAAATCTTAAAAATTACGTCTGAAAAATCTAAAACTTGTGTCGTAAATAATTTTTTTTTATTACTTTTTGGCAAATACTTTTAACTTTTACACATTTCAACTGCATTCAATCAAATGTTACTTAGTTAGGAATATTTGATGAAGTTCCCGTTAATGCAAGATTAAATATTTATCTTCTTGAGATTCGCCCTGCTTTTCGCTTTTCCTGGTCGGTTAAAACTTTTGTGCTGAAAGATTCAAGGGTTGGGCCGCCAAAAAGGCCAAAACCGCAGCAATTTGCATTAAACAATTTTAATTAGTCACGAGCTCGATTATTGAGTTGCTCAGCAAAAATTAATGCGCGGCTCGTAATTGCTTTTGTGCGGTTTGTGGATTTATTGTGGCCGTATTGAAAAAAAAATATATTGAAAATAATAAGAGGGGCTGCTGCGGGACAGATAGGGCATGGCCGTCTCAGATTAGTGGTGGTGATTTATTGCCTCCCACCGCCGACGGTCGTTTGCATGCAAATTATTTGATAAGCCGTGACGTGTGCGTCCCCTTTTAAAATGCTCACTATCGGTTTCTGGAGAATTAAAGGGGTCGCTACTGAAATTTCGCGTTTCAGATTCTGCTAGAAATAGAAGTGATGATCCAAAATATTTACCTTTTACAATTTTATTATCTTTGTTACATATCGTTGGAATCATTTAATTTAAACAAAGTCTTGCAAATTTAGTATGTTTCTTACAGGATTTATCAGTTTTTGGGATACAAAGGACTTTGAAATTATAATAAAATTGGAAAAATTCGATTTCATATTATTCTGATATTATAGATATTATGCATTATTTCACTGTAAATATTTTAACTGCAGAAAATTTTTATAAAATGGCAGCAAATTTGAATTTCAAAATTTTTCTCTCGCCGAATTTTTTTTTATTTTCAAAATCTTGGAAGGATCTGTTTAATTTTATTATAAATATATTTCAATTTCCCTAAATATAAACAAATAAGTCTTGTTAATGACTTGAAATAAATATTTTCTAACAACTTCAGAGTTTTCAAAGGACAGAGCTCTGTTGAGAAAGTTTCATTTTATTAGCTCGGGAGCAGAAAAAGAGCAAAAGTAGTCGGCGCCCGAAATGATTTATTTCCCTTAATTATCTCTTGGGCCATTAACTCGCTCCTCATTTGACTCCAATCTCGCACCGGCTGCAGAATTAATTACCACTGCGCTAAAACGTTCATTTGTCACCGGCACGTAAAATTTAGAAGGGAATTTGTCCATTACGAAAAATAACCATTGAATCTTAAGTAATCATTTTAAATTTGTGTTTCAGATGGGAAATTCCACATGCTGCCGTCCGGCGAGTTGCTGGTGCTAAACGTGGACTCGTCCGACGTCTACTCGAACTACCATTGCCGCGCCACGCACCGCCTTTCCGACGAAACTCTCGTCAGCACCATACCTGGCAAAATCACCGTCACAGGTCTGTTGATATTTATCGCTCGTTTCAAGAATGAAATAAACTGAACTTGTTTCAAAAATTTTTATCTCCATATTTTTTCCTCTCTTTTCGGAAATATCAATAATTTTTTTGCTGACAGAAACGCCTAGAGGGGTGGTGCCGCCGCGGGCGTTCGAACGCAACGTGAATTTGGAGGTGAAGAGGGACGAACTGGTAATTCTGCCCTGCATAGTGGACAGCAATCCCCAGCCCGAGTACAGGTACGTGCCGAGGTTTCCACCGCTGCAGGCTCTCTCAATCCCCCTAATCCCTTTTCCGCACCACCAAGTCTCTATCTCGAACGAGAATCTAATTTCATGCAATCATCAAACCCCCAAACACAGGAATTTTTGTAAAAGCTCTAAATTATTTAATAACTTTATTATTAGTGTATTAAAAAATTTAATTCACTCTTCAATACGCAAAAAGTTAGTTGCTAAACATTTATTTTTTTATCCCTCTTTTAATAAAATTAATATTTTTTGGTCCTACAAGGGTTAAAGATTAATGTTTTGTGGATGCTTTGAGGAATTTTTACACACATTTCCAGTGCAAAAAATAAAATATTTGATAGTTTTGTCAACAAATTGACAGGGAAATTAACGAGTTTGAGATTTACTTCACTTGGGCAAACAATTCACTCGCCAAAATATAATCTTTAATAAATAATGCAAATTAGTAGTTTTTGTATGTTCCAAAGATTTTTTGTTTTTTATTAAAAATGTAGACACTTCGTTTGTTAAAAAAAATTGCATTTTTAACAATTTTCAACAGCATTAGAGCAAAAAGTAAAAACTCATTGCGATTTATCACGAAAGGCCCGTAAGGTGTAAAATATATTATAAGATTATAATTTTTACTAGCAACATGTTCTAAATATGAAGAGAATCTATTCTTTATAAAATTTTTAATAAATTTAAAATTTGGGCGCTAAAAATTGACTTTTGAATTCAAGTAATTGCGAATAATTGGAAAAATGTCACAATTAATTTTAACCGATCAAAATTTATTTTCGTTTGTAATTTTTGTTCTGTTACTGTTCAGGTGGTTCATGTTGAGCGACACGACGGGCCAGATGCAGCCTTTGCACGACACGGAGCACCGGTACCGCATCAACGGGCTGCTGGTGCTGCACAGGGCGCGCGCCGCCGACTCAGGGCGCTACATCTGCGTGGCCAACAACACCGGTGGCTCCGAGCGCGTCGAGTTTGGCCTGCTGGTGACGGCGCCCCTGGGGGCCCACGTGACCCCCTCGCACGCCACCGTCGACCTGGGCCGCAGCGCCGAGTTTGTGTGCGCCACAATGGGTCATCCGGTCAAGACGGTAGCCTGGGCCAAGGACGGAAACGTGCTCAGGGACGGCCACCGCGTCAGGTTTGTCGGCAGAGAGCGCCTGCAGGTGCTCAACGTGCAGCGCGAGGACCAGGGCATGTACCAGTGCTTCGTCAAGAATGACCATGACATGGCCCAGTCCACCGCAGAGCTTCGTCTCGGAGGTAAGTTAAAAACGTTTTAATATTTCCCTAATAAAACTTGTTTGAAGAAGTTGACAATCAAGGAGATGATCATGGAAATGAAGAAGTAGGGCTTTTCCTCCTTGTAAAAAATTGTTTTTATTTAAAATAAATTTTTTGCAACGACCACTTCATTTCCCTAATAAAACTTGTTTTGAATTTTTTAGTTGAAAAAAAAAACGAAAAAAACAATATCATTCACTGACTGAAAATTGAAAATTTTATGGCTTTTAATTTAGTTACAATTGTGTTTATTAATTTGATTTTCCATGGGGAATATTATATAAAATTTGATTTGCAACTTACGTTTAGTAATTATACCTCAATTTTACACTTTTTTTAATAGCATCTACACAATAAATGTTCATAATTTTATTTATATATATTTTTTTTTATAAATAATTTGCAATGCCAGATAAATTTTCTCTGTTAATTTCAAAAAAATAATTGGGGGATATTTACAGTCATGCTTTTGGGATTTGCTGGTGCTAACTCAGCATGCCAATAATTTGAAATTTTAGCAACAAATAATATTTGTTTCTAAATTTTTTAGATTTAAAGATATTTTTATTGTAGAAATTACATTGAAACAACCTTGGCGCTTCTAAGCTGGAATTTACGCCACACTTAAAAATTATTTTGTAAACTAGTTAAATGCAAAGAAAATATAAATCATATGTTTTTTCCTTATTCTAAAGGCTACAATCTACAATACTTCTATCAAGTTCTGTCTATGTATGTAATTGCATGTTTGATTTCTTTGCTCTTAAAACTGTAATTATTTGGAATTTTTTTTCCGATAATTTAGAAATATAATATTTTCATGTTTTTTCGTTATTAATGTTAATTCTTCAAAAATTAAGTTACAACGTAGAAAAGAAAAAAATACTAAATGTTTAGAAACGGCAGCACCTCCAAAGAAGAAATAATTAAAGAATAACTTTGATTTGAGATCTGCACATATCCTTGATGTCGTCGTCTATGATCAGGAGCAACTGAAATTTTAATGAACAGCACTTACAATTAGTTTGATTGATAAAATAATGGATATAGATGTACAGACCCAAAAGTAAAAGAAGAGGCCGCAAGAGGAAAGCAGGTGCCAGAGGTCGTGGTAGTCGAAGAATTCGAGCAACACGCACTTCTGGTTGAAAGTGCGGGAAACAGCCGCCGGTTCTTCCCACGTGGTGCTCGTTTCTCCGAAGCAAATCATCGCCAGCGTCCAACAAATGACGCTGGCCACAAGCAGAATCACCGGCTTGGGACGACAGAACCAAAGCGAACCGTCGACGACGCACTTCATCACCAAGTAGATGGCAGTACACAAGGCCAAGTTGGCCACCAGGACGATCAGAAGGCAGAATGCGATATCTTTAGGCCGAAGTGCAAGACCAGAAATGCAGAGCGTCAAGTTCAAAAGGAAGACTGAAAAATTTTGTTGTGTTTTACATTAATATTTTGTTAAAATTTGATTCTTACTCAAGGAGGTGTAGATGAATCTGTCTTTGCGGAACGCATCGGCTCTGACTTCGTGGAAAAGCGTCCTCGATGGCAACCGGAATCGCCAGCAACCGCAGTAGTACACGTGGATGCAGCAAAAAAAGCTGATGGTCATATAGACGGCACTGAAAACAATCCACGTAGCCAAGTAGTTGTCCAGCAACTCGCCAAGCCAACTGATGACGCTCAGCACGGCCAGGAAGAAAAAGGCGTTCTTGGCACGCATGGCTCCGCTGGGGTGTCGGTTCTGGTACAATTTGATCCCACACATCACCGCGATCACATACATGAAGCACGTGTCTGCAAAGATCAAATGAGCTTCAAAATTAAGCAAAATTTGTGTTCTCATGGCGTTTTCCCGCCTTTTCTTTAACAGTTTATTTTCAAACAACATTCTTAAAGATCCTCTACGGTAAAGTGTATTGCTCTTTATTCTGAAAGATTGCTAAATTTCGAGTATATCTGGTGAAATCACTATTTTAAAATTCCAAACCGTTGCTTCTCAATCAAAAGAAAACCTAAATACCAGAGATTCGCGCGAAAAACGTGTGAGAATTGAGTAGCCAATCAGATCAATCAGTTTGTTCCAAAAACTACAGAATATGGTCACATTGGCGCTGCGATCGCTGATTTTGCCACTAATGCCCCACGGCGATGCAGAAAACGTGACAAAATCAGCGATCGCAGCGCCAATGTGGCCAAATTTTGTAGTTTTTTGAACAAACTGATGGATCTGATTGGCTACTCAATTCTCACACGTTTTCCGCGCGAATCACTCGTATTTAGGTTTTCTTTTGATTGAGACGCAACGGTTTGGAATTTTTAAATAGGGTTTTTACAAGATAAACTCAAAATTTAGCAATCTTTCAGAATAGAGAGCAATACACTTGACCGGAGAGGATCTTTAAGACTTTTTCGGTTTACCTATTTGGAAGTTGAATTTGTTGGGACAGACGTGGTAGCAGGAGCTGCAGACGCACTCTGCGAACAGTGCCCAGCCCATGGAGTAGTAAAGGTTGAATAGTGGCGGGATGCCTTTGAAGTGGTTAATTAAGGGCTCGTTGATTGCTGCCTTCTCTCGTCTCTTAACTAAAAGGTTGAAAAAAAGTCCTAGATATCCGTAGCCGATGTTAGAGGCGACGTGGTTGAAGTCCGAGAGGAACATGAGCGGATGCGAGCAGAAAAAGTTGTAGTAACACCAGTCCTGTGAAATTCATTGACAACATAAATCTTGCATTTTTGCAAATATCTTCTATACCAAGTCTCCAGTTTTGTGAATGTTCGATTGGTACACGATGACCATGTAAATGACCGGAATGCAGTTGTAAATGATGATGGCCGCCAATATCCACGGGTAGAGGCTTTGCGAATACTTCCAGTCTTCCAAGGTGTGCCAAATCACGTGAGAAAGATAAATCGTATCCCCCGCTCTTTTATTTTTTCATTTGATTAACAAATTTTTCAAAAATTGGAGAAGAAATACTTACCTAATTTGTTTCTTCAGGTTCTCCATTGCCTTTAATTTTCTTATCTCACTGCATTCATAAATTTGATCAGACGACTCGGTACTGCAAAAAGAAAACTCGGCATTAAAAAATTTAGATGTAATTAAATTAACTGTTAGAGGCTCATTAAGTTTGCATATAAAGTGAAAAAATTCTTACAGATCTTCACCCAACCCACTTAAAAGTGCTACTAAATCATCAGAACGTCTCCTACAACAAAAAGAAATCAAAGATCATTTTCCAATAGTTGAAGTGTGAAAAAGTTCATGCACCTTATTTCTGCCAACCGTTGAAAAGGGTCACCCTGGTTAATGCGTCTTTTCCGAAATGCAATCCAGCATTTGAGCGACATCCAGACGAAAACTAGAAATACCGTCATCAGCAGCAAAAAGCCCATTGTTTCCGCTAACAGGAGAACAATGCTGACTTCAGAAATGTCTGTGATGGTCAGCGTCAGATTTTTCATGCGCACTGGTTCATCGATAATTGAAGCGTTGACTGAAGGCTGCAATCATCGAAATTAAATTATTGAGCTAGTTAAAAAATGCTCGCATATTCTCACCTGCGAAATAAAACCATCCAAGCATTTTTGGTCGTCAGAGAGCACGACAAATCCAACATAGAAATGTCCCTTGGGAAACATCTTTTGCTGTAAAAGTGATTTTTACATTGATATAACTTTTCATAAAAGAGAAAGTTGTACATTGATCATCATTCCCCCTTTCTTAGTGATTGTTTGACGGTAGTTGTCTCTGTGCGTCGAAAATTCCACCAGTTGGTGAATGGAGCACTGGAAGTCAACAAGTTTAAAATATTAATTTTAATTAAAAAAAAACCGTGTGAAGCTTGATGGATTTTAAAAATTTATAGAAAAACAGTTTATTTAAGAAAAAGAAATATTTATAGACAAAATAATGTATTGCACACATTTTATGACATCAGAGGCGTTGAATTTAACTATGACATAAGATGATAAGCTACATTGTGGCCGGAAGGGGATGTTTGCGGTGATATCTCATGATTATAAGTAGGAAAATTGTAATTTTTGCAAATGAAATTTGGTTATTACCCCAAATGAGCTTCAACAAATACAAAACTTCCATTGAAATTTTAAATATGTTGAATTTACCGATTTGAAAAGGCTCAAGGTGGTGCAGGAGTCATTGGGACTTATGACCTCAAGAAGGACGCTGGTCACATTTTCGGGAAAATCGAAACGGAAGTAGCGCGGTGACGTGGGTTCCGCGTGTGTTTGGATGGAGGTGTTGAGCGAAATCTTGTACGACGTCTGCAGGCTGACGTAAACTTCAACGCGGACTGGCCACTCGTCGGACGTTGACACGATCACCTCCAGAGATTCGTTGGCGTACGGACACGTCGTGTGAGACGCGAAACTATACAACTGTCCACTGTTGAAATTTGAAATCAACGTCAAATATTATTTTAAATAAAAGAAGCGAAAAATTTTGATACTTTTCCGCCTGATAGGGAAGTTCCCACGAAATGACATCCCTCTCCTGTCGAAGCACCACAAAAACAGGCTCGTCGCCGTACGAAGCGTCGCCCTTTCTGACGTGCACTCGGGCTGGATGCTCAGAACTCAACTTGAAATTTTTTGCTTGTTAGAAAAGAAAATTTAGATCAATTGTTAAAATTTTACATCATCTTTTGAAAAGAGCAGCGTGAAGGAATTCTTGGCGTTGATATATTCAATGTAGACCTGTCCTATTTGACCATTGATGGTGTCGCAAAAAGTGAATCCCACCAGGGTAAGGCACAGAAGGCCCAAATAGTGCAGGAATCTCATTCTAGAATTAAGTGAAAACTATTTAATGAGGATTAAAAATGTAGATTGATATGATTAAAATAATGAATGTTGTAAAATATTACTAGAGTACATTTCATAATTATTTCATTAAAATTTTAAACTTGATTTATTTATATTTCCTACTTAAACTTTTATTTGTTTAAAATAAGTAATATCGTGTGTACGGAGGATAAATTTTGAACCGATTACTCATGTCGATAAAAAATTTCTGTATTAATAATTTATCAAATATATAATTTTACCGGTGAATTTAAACACTGCAAACACTTCAAATTTTAATCTTTTAAGAAAGTCTAAGTGCTGATCGTTTTTGCTCTCCTATCGAACAAGGAAAGTGTGCAAAAATATTAGTCAGCGGCGGTCACGTGACCGACTTGGTGAGCGGTTTGTGTTGTCTGGAGCCGCAGATGCAATTTAAAGACCGGTAGTGGCCAAGAGATAACACAAAACGCGTGTACAAATGTGTTAAAAATTTAGCAATAAAAATGAAAATAATGTATTTAAAAGTATATCAGTGTTACTGTTTATTTGCCCAAATATATTGCAGGAGAAAACATAAGAAATTGTAGCATAATTTAAAAAAATTATCGCAAAAAGTTTTGCAAAAAGAATAATACATTAAAAAACTAATTTCCTGCCGTTGCACATTTGTACTAATTTTTATTAAAAGTTTCCCAAAATTATAAAAATAATAATTAAAATAAAAAGTAATCTTTATTTGAAACATGCAATCTTTTACTTTTCATAAAGAAAATAATAATTACTTGGTGAAAAGTTTCGGATAAAGAGAATAATACTTGCTTGGTTTATCTCTGTAGTCCTCCGAACACTTGTGTCTTTTTAACTCGCGCACATGCTTTTTATGCGCGGCGTGTACCAAGACTTTTTATCTCCCTCTCCTTTTAACGAACACTTGCTCGTTACAATTCACGCTCGCAGCTGACATCTACAATTTAGCAATTGATTCAACTTTGCGACTGCGTGTACTCAATTTTGCACAATTTCATTTGCTTGAGAATTTGCGGTACTTTCAAAATTGTTTAATAGAAAATCTCTAAAATAAATTATTATTATATTTAAATATCATTTCTTTTGTAATTGCGTTTCAAACTGGGCAATAAAGTCTAAGGAAGACACTTAAGTTTTTTCCATAGTCGATTCAAGATGAAAAAGTCTATTGCATTTTTATTATTTCTAGCAGAACAAAAAGAAAAATCATTAATTTTGCGAAACGTATCACCAAAACTGCAATATCAACCATTTTTTATTTTAGTAATCGCAGTCAAATAAGTAGTTCCGGCAGTTTCGTTTTTAAAAGGGAAAAAATTTTAAATGCAAAAATTTGCAACTTTTAATAACATTTTGCTTACATGTACTTTATTTTTCAATATTTTGTGTTAATAAATAGAGTGAAATTATTATTAAAATTTTGCCTTATGGCACCCGTGAGCTTATTAGGCTTATTGGGTTGGTGGGGAATATTATTATTATTTTTATTATAATATAATTTTTATTTTTTCAACTTATTATTTTGCTCCTTTCAATGGGGGAGGTCCATTTAGATTGGGACACCCCCCGTTAATTGCACTTTGGACTAATGATTGCGAAATTGGCTGGTGTGATTGCAGACACGCCTCCGCAGCTCATGTACAAGTTCATCCAGCAGACGATCCAGCCGGGGCCGTCGGTGTCGCTGAAATGCATCGCCGCCGGAAACCCGACGCCGAGCATCAAGTGGACCCTCGACGGCTTCCCCCTGCCCCAGAACGAGAGGTAAATTTTCCGCTCGCCGTTTTCCGCACCCGACCCCAATTGGCCCGCTTGATTGCAGATTCCTGATCGGGCAGTACGCGCCGCACGGCGACGTCATCAGCCACGTCAACATCAGCGCCGTCAATGTGGAGGACGGCGGCACCTACGAGTGCATCGCCACCAACAGGGTTGGCGACGCCAGGCACAGGGCCCAGCTAAACGTTTACGGTCAGAATCAAATTAAAAAATTAAATTGTGTAGTTTTGACAAAATTCTTCAAATTTAAATTTTCTTAAAGGTCTTTGTAATGAACAAAAATTTTTGTTAAATGAAACAAATCACATATTTTTACTAATATTGTTTTCTTTGCACTTTTTAAAAGTATATTTTGTTTGTGCGTTTCTTAGAAGTTTTAAAAACCTCGCTGTGATTTAAGTGAAATAGGAACATGAAAAGAAGATTAATTACAAACAATCTAATTGGCTCTCAATTTAATATACGTCTTTGGATTTTGTTAACCATTTTTTATTCTATTTTTCCACAAAATTAAAATAATATGCATTGTTTTATGGAAAATGGAACTCGTAGTTCAAAAATACATTAATGTTTTTATATTTCCAACCTGACTGAAAATTTTTTAATAGGTCTCCCTCATGTACGATCGATGCCTGAAATCTCTGCCGTTGCCGGGGAAACTCTTTACGTAGCGTGTCCAGTTGCTGGCTACCCTATCGACAGCATCAAGTGGTACCGAGGTAATTTTTTAAACATAAAAATAAACAAATCTCCCCGGTAAAATGAGATGAAAGGCGCAGAAATAGTTTTTTTTTCGCCAAGCTTGAATTTTTTTTGCCTTTTCCTCTTTTGTGCAGAAGGTTTTTCGCTCTCGCACTAAAAATTCATTCATACATGCAAAATGCTCGGCTGTTTATTAGGCCGTCAGCGCTAATCAACACATCAAAGGTGGAACCTCGGCGCGTATTCTTTTTGATCTGCTGAGTAAACCTAATTCCATATGCAAATTTTTGATATACGCACCCGAAAAGAGAAAAGCTAAATGAGTAGCCCTTTGTGACTTTCGTTTTTATAAAAACACAGGCGACCGACTCTTGCCGATCAACCGACGACACTTGGTTTTCAAAAACGGCACTTTGGTGATCGAAAAGCTGCAGGCCAACCAGGACGGCGGCTCGTACACCTGCAGCGCGTCCAACAAACAGGGCAACACGGCCTCGGGCATGGCCCACATCAATGTCATGGGTGAGTTTCAAGTGAACTGAAACCAAATTAATTAATCTGATCGATTGTATTTATGGGCTATAATTTCAGTAAGGGGTAATTAAGACTTCGGTAAAATCTCTCATCTCAAACAAAAAATATTGAATAAGTTGAACTGAAAACAATCCTGTTTCATGTAATTAAATGAGTCTTAAAATTGAGTGCAAACTTGAGAACCCTGAATAAGTTCCTATCATTCTCTATTAATGTTTGATACTATTTCAAGTTGAAATGCCAGTTTTCAGTCATATTGTTTCAATCTCAGTCAATCTTGCTTAGGGAGACTTAAAAAATCCAATTAGGACGAAATTAAAGATTATTACTTTATTATTATTTTATTTTGTTCTATTTTTTAGTTTATTGTATTAAAACGTTTAATATTGGGAAATAATTAAACATTGTAACACCATCCTTAGCAAGAGTTTTGATAAAACTTTGAAGATAAAAAATACCCATAGCCAAAATTAAAGAGAAGATTTTAAAAAGTGATGAAATTTTGAAGAATCAGATTTTTTTAGATGATTCCAAATCTACACATGTAGCCAGATCGAGTTTTCTTTCAAAAATTTGAAACTATAAAAGACACAGGATTACAGTTGCACTATTAATTATCTTTTCAATCACAAACCTTTGTTCTCATATCGGACATGTTCATTTACTTCTGGGATTTTAATTATTATTATAATTTGTTTTTTTTGTTTTTGAAGTGTGATTTTGGAAATAATGTCTGCAAGAAGAGGCGAGGAGCGACGGGCGGAGGCCTGATGGTGTGCGTCTGATTTCAGTCCCCCCCAAACTAAACCCTTTTAGCTTCCGATCGGACCTGCACCTGGGCGAAAGGGTGGGTCTGCAGTGCATGGTGTCCAAGGGCGACCCTCCGCTGGAGGTGACGTGGCTGAAGGACGGTCGGCCGCTGGGGACGGACCCTGAGCTGGTGGTGCGCCACCTGGACGAGTTCACGAGCAGCCTGGCGATCGGCGCGTTGGCGCCGCGCCACAGCGGCAACTACACATGCGTGGCGCGCAACCTGGTGGCCGCGGCTGCGCACTCGGCCGCGCTCTCCGTCAACGGTACTTTGCGCAACTGACCCTTGTGCCTTGTTTTCTTGTCTCTTTGCAGTGCCCCCCGCGATCACGCCGTTCACCTTTGGCGAGCTCTCGCAGGGCGAGCGGGTCAAGGTGACGTGCAGCGTGAAGCGCGGCGACATGCCCCTGAGCATTTCCTGGAGCAAGGACCGCAGGCCGATTGTAGAGCATGCCTCTGACGTCCGAGTCACGGACGTTGCCGACGACTCGTACTCTAGCATTTTGGCCATTTCTAGTGTTACCTCTAGGCATAGCGGCAATTATACGTGTGTCGCGCGCAACCCAGCCAAGGAAACCGCCTACACCGCCGAGCTGGTGGTCACCGGTAATGTAAAATCTGCAAAAATGCAGCCCCGAAAACTCGTTCACCCTGATTCCCACCCTTGAGGCCGAAATCGCAGCCCTGAAACTTTGACAAAGAGTTTCAAATCTAATAAAAATTCAAAGATTAAGCGAGGAAAAATAGTTAATTGTATAAGAAATTAAAATTTAATTCAGATTAATTCATTTTCAGTATCAAAATATGAGGATTATTTTTTCTGCTAATTATTTCTCCTTTGCTAAAGAGAAATTTCTACTTAATTTTTTACACATTCACATCATAAAGTTGGCCAATAAATAATATTATGTGCTCTTATTAATTTTTTTGAGATTTTTTAAATAGCACTATTGAACTGTGACGCTTTTTATATCAATTAGGAGAAACATTAATTTGTTCATTATATATGCATTCGCTCTATACAGAAATTTTAAATTCAGTTCATTCTTTTCCCAAGTTGGACTGCTTTTAAGAATTATGGAGCCCGCAAAACAAATTTTAAACAATCTTGATCACCCTGACAAGAAATATTGAACCAATTTTTGGATGTAAAAGTTTTAAAATTGAAAGTTGACCTGAATGAAAACATTGTTTAGCGGAAATTTTTTAATAAAAGAGTTATGAATAAATTAAAAAAATCAATTTCTGTTTGACGTGGGTTGCGTATTTTGAGAATTAACCTTTCCACTGGTAGACATAAATATCCAAATGAATAAATAATTTAAGGATTCAAAGATTTGGAAGGAATTCCATAACATTTTCCACATTTTTCCCCGTTTTATCGAGGTTAAATTTTTATGAAAATTAGAAATTATTCCTTATTAGTCATTTACAAAGAAACATAATTTAAAAAATAATTATATAATTTAATTTTGAAATGATTATGGAAGGAATAGCATTTTTCTTTTGCTCATGCAATCTCCTCATTCAATAAGCCCATTTAACGATCATTCACACTGCCACTTTTTATGTGCATATACGACGTGGTGGCGAAATCTCGCTTTCAAAAGGGTTAATGATGGGCAGGGGCGGATTTCGGCCGATCGCCCATCCCAGCGCACAGCCTACATGTGTGTCGTCTGTCTCTATGTGTAAAGCCCCCATCCATCACGCGACGAAAACCAATTTCCCTCAACACACATTCTCTCTCTCTCCAACTCTACTTTCACACTCACACACACACAAACGGACAAAATCCCCCAAAATGGCACGCTGGCTTGCAATTCTCTCTCTCTCTGTGTAACTAACTCTGTTCTCTCTTTCACTCTCTTCCAAACTGTCTCTTGACACGCATTTACACACACACAAAAGCAACACGTGTGTACAATCACCCCCTGTATAGCTTCAATTACACACCCTTTGTTGGTTTTGCTGCTCTAATGACAACTCGTAAAACGAAAAACAGAGCAATTGGTACATTTCGGCCCCATCCGAAATAATGATAAAAGCTTCAATTTGTCAGATAATATATTAAAAAAATAACAATAATAATAAAAGTTCTTTGGAAATTGATTAAATTTGAAAGTTTTAAAATTAATTTTTTGGGTTTTTGTTGAATTAAAAAAAGGAAAATACATTCACAATGGACACTTACACACATCTCATCAAATCAGACCGAACCAGTATTTTTTTGGCCGTTCTGTCTTTGAACGCGCGTATGACAGTGAGCTGCCCATGCCCTCTCTCGCGAGAGTGAGCACACAGCAAACGAACCAGGTAACATTTCTCGCATGCACTCGAGCGCCGCGCATGGACTTTTTGGCACGCTTTTGCACTCTCTGCTCACACCACACACTCTGCCGCGCGGTGAGACTTGATCATTTTTAATCTCTCGTCTTAATTTTGATGAATTTTTACTTCCAAACTCAGAAAACAAAACAATGAAATGCACAAATTTCCATATATTATATTCTTTGAAATGCACCACTTTCTGAATTTCTGATGCCTGCAGCACTCTGCCTCGTCGATATTTTGCACTATTCCATCCATTTCCTCAAAGTTTTGTCGAATAATCAAATTAATTTTTCAAAATATAATAAAGTTCTTTGATCTTGTGCTGAATTTCTTGATACTTTTCAAAGTCAAATCTTCAAAGCGGAAGACAAGTATAATAAAAGAAAATGATTTTTCAATTTTCCATGAATAATAATAAAAAAATTAATTATTAGCAATTTCTGAGCGTCTTTTGGGTTTCAGTGCCGCCCAGTTGGGTTGTCGAGCCGGAAAACAAAGACGCCAAGCTCGGCCAAAACGTCGTCTTAAACTGCCAGGTTGAGGGTTTTCCAAAACCCACCATTGCCTGGAAAAAAGCTCTCGGTATTTTAATGTTTCAAAATCAAGAAAATTAATAATAATGGAAAAACTAGGGTATAAACCTGGCGAGTACTCGGAGCTCCGCCCGATGGAAGGGTCGACGCACGGCCCCATCCACCCTGTGCAAGGGGGCTCGATGCAACTGCTCATAAACGGGTCCCTGCTGATTGAAAGCGTCAAGCAGGAGGACGAGGGTCGCTATCTTTGCGAGGCCAGCAACGGAATCGGAATTGGCCTCAGCGCCGTCATCACCCTCACAGTCAATGGTATGAATAATAAAAAAGTTAACCAAGTTATTCATGAATTTAAATCAAAATTTTATTACGTTTAATCGTTAATTTTTTTTAAGCACTGCCAAAAGATAATAATCTAACAATTTATGGCTTAATTCTAATTTATGCGTATATTTAAAACACCCTCAAAAATCATTATAAATTATTTAATTGAACTCTTCAAATTATAATTGAGTTGTTCTTGAAAATATGATTTAAACAGATACTTTACTTTACAGTGATAACTTTGTGTGTCAATTTAAATTTACTGAGACAGCTGAATTATAAACATTTTTTGCTTTGGCCGCCAAAAGATAAAAATAGTTTGCCTTTTTATTTAAAAAAAAAGCTGCACATTTTCAGAGAATATGTCATTTTTAAACCCAATCTTTTTAAAATTTGTAATTTAAAATTAAATAAATTTCGCATACTATGTGAAACTAAAACCCTCTTTATTCATGTTTTTGTGATTTGGCAGCGCCGGTCCAGTTTAAGATTCGGTCCAAGAAGGAGCTGGTGCGTCGCGGCAGCACCGCCAAACTGCAGTGCAAAGCTTCGGGCGACAACCCTATCATGGTCAAGTGGCAGAAGGAGAACTCACACTTGGACATTCACTCCATTAGGTACAGAAATTAAGTATTTTTACTCAACTCCTCTAACTCCAATTGATTTTCAGTATAAAAAACTCGACTTTGACTCAAGAAAACGGACTGATATCAGAGCTTTTGATTTACGATACGAAACGGACTGACAGCGGGGTTTACACCTGCTTTGCTAGCAACGACTTTGGCCACGACCAAATGGCCATCCACCTTTTAGTTCAAGGTATAAAAAAAAATTAAAAATAAGTAGAAATTACAATATAAATTAAAAATTAATTTTCAGACGCTCCTGCCAAACCAACGAATTTACGAATATTAGAGTACGAATCTAGGAAGGTGACCTTTGAATGGAACCAGGAACAGGATGGTAACAGCCCCATCACCAGATACGTCGTCAGCTACAGAGCATTACATGGTAAATTTCAAAGCATACAACCTGCCAAACACCATTGCAGAGCAAGTTGCATACATCTTTTTGAAAACTAACTTTTGTTCTAAATCAGGGGTGGGATCGCAAGTGAGTCAGCAGGTGGTGGACGGCAGCCAGACGTCAACTACGGTCAGCAATTTACTGCCGGACACAAGTTACACAATACAGGTGGCGGCCGAAAACCAGCTTGGCGTGGGTGAGCCAAGTGACGAGCTGCAGGTGCGCACAAGTGATGAGCAGCCGAGTCACAGTCCGCAGGACTTAATGGTCGAAGCCCGCACTTCCACGCAGCTCCACGTGTCCTGGAACTCGCCGCCAGTAGACACTTGGAACGGACAGCTGCTCGGATATTATGTTGGACACAGAGAAATGATGAGGTATTTTTTTAACTTACAAAATTTATTTATGTTAAAAATAGAGTTTTTTAAAGATTATGAAATACATGATTATTTAATTTTGTATCTTTTTTTGTTTTAATTTAATATAAAAAAACTACCATAAGCTTTTTGGAAACAAAATTTTTTCCCCAAAGCTGTCTCCACAAAATGTTTTCGATGTTGATTTTTTATATTATATTTGAATGGTTTAATTGAATATAAGATTTAATTATTAAAAATTTGCATCAATTTGAAAGCAATCTAAACTTTTCAAAACCTTTCAGTAATGAGCGTGCCGGCACAAACCAGTACAACTTCACAACCGTGCCTTGGCCCGGGAACGGAAAGGCCGAGTTGAAAATGGACAACTTGAAGAAGTTCACAAAGTACTGCATTGTGGTGCAGGCGTTCAATATGAAGGGCGCCGGCCCCACTTCGACTGAAGTTGTTGCTCAAACTCTGGAAGATGGTCAGTTTTTTAAATGAAAAATTATAAAAAATTACTATAATATTCATAATGATTGATTGGTTCAGTTCCTGAGGCTCCTCCGCGTGATTTGCACTGTGCTGCAAGCACTTCAGAGTCCATTGAGGTTAATTGGCAGCCTCCTCCGGATGACAAGGTCCACGGCGTCATCCAGGGCTACCGACTTTATTACGAAGCCGTCGAAGATAGTTGTAATAATAATTTACCACTAATGCAAATTTTTTGATAATTTAAAACAATCATTTCAGTTGATTTATACCAAATAGACAATTCCGCTCAGAGCAAAATGACCAAGTCATTGACCACAGTTCTTCACGGCCTCTTAAAATACACAAACTACAGCATCCAGGTGTTGTCCTTCACCCATGTAGGAGAGGGGGTGAGAAGCACCAGAATTTACTGCAGGACCAAAGAAGATGGTACGAAAAAAATTAATTAATAATGTTTGTTTTAAATTAAATTTTCTAAATTTTAGTTCCGGGTCCACCTGCTGATGTGAGACTTTTAGCCACCAGTCAGGACACAGCCCTGGTCACGTGGCTCCCTCCAAAACAACCCAATGGTGAAATCCAGAAATACTATATTTACGTCAGGGTGATGGATTCGACGGGGAGGAAGGTCGAGCCAAAGGTCGTCCCTTCAAGCAGTTTTGAGTACGAAATCAGAGACCTGAGGAAGAGGCACCGCTATGAGGTGTGGGTGGCTGCCCTCACCAGGGTGGGCGAGGGCCCTGGCACCCCCGTTTCCTCCTTCACCCCTACCAATAAAGGTGAAGAAAATTCTCCATGGAATTTTTTTTATTAAAATTTCTTATCCAGTTTCAGCTGCCATTGCGTCCTTTGGAGGACACATAGTGGTGGCGAGCAGGAAGGACGTGCGCCTGCCCTGCAGGGCGGTTGGCCAACCTGAGCCGGTGAGGCAGTGGTTGGCCAACGGACGACCTTTGAACCTGCAGCATTCGGCCTCTGAGCAACGCAGCACACCTTTGCAGATCCTGAGCGACGGCACCCTTTTGATGGCCAGTGTTCTCAGGACTGATGGAGGCGACTACACCTGCGTGGTCACCAACGAGCATGGCAAGGACCAGATCACCTACCAACTTTCTGTGCAAGGTCTGGACATTTACCATTAATTTGTCTTTAATAATCAGTAAATTTTATGACTTGATACTATTTTTTATAAATTTAGGAGAAAGTAGAGCAATATTTTTTCTCATTTTGATAAAGAAATTTTACAAGAAAATCATGAAAAATAATAGTCCTCAGAGTCAGATCCCAGTCTTTTAATTGGTTGGGGTCTAATTGTTGCAAATACACTAAAATTTGAAAAAAATGAGCCTGAAATTGCAAATGACAATATGGTTTAAAAATATTTAAATAATGACAGTTTTATGTGCCTCTCTGGCTATAATTCAATTGCTGCACAGTTATATAAATTCTAAAAAAGTATCAAATTTTTTTTAAAAAATGCCCAGCATTATTATTTTTCTTAAAAGCACATTTGTAATTAAAAATAAAAATTAAACAATTTGTTTTATGGAGAATTATGAACTAGTTTTGAATTTTATGTGTAAATATGAAAAAAAAATTAAGTTAATATTGTTTCAAATTTCAGTTCCACCTGCGACGCCATTGTTGCACTCGACGGGCTCATCTTCCTCGTCAATCCAACTGCAGTGGAAGTTGGGCGACGACGGCGGTTCACCTGTAAAAGGGTTCGTCTTGCACTACAAGCCTGAGCAGGGTGAGTGGACTGAGACGAGGGTGGACCGGCACCACAGCACATTCACCCTGAGCGGCCTGCGGTGCGGCACCCAGTACCACGTGTATCTGGTTGCATACAACCGGCTCGGCAGCAGTCCCTCCAGCGTCGTCCTCAAGGAGCGGACGCGCGGCTCCAAACCGCTGCCCCCACCCCTTTCAGCCGCCGACGCCTTCCTGGTGCTCAACGCCACCAAAATCGGCCTCAGGCTCGAGAGTTGGCCTGACGGCGGCTGCCCCATTGTCTACTTTGTGGTCGAGTTTGTTCCTGTCGGAAGCGCCACCGGCGAGTGGCAAGTTGGTGAGTACAAAAATGGAATGTTGTCACCTCAAATTGAAATGAGTGTAATTTGCTAGAATTTGCTCTAATATAATTATGGAATATAAATTATTTTTTAGAACTGATAAAAGTTCCCCCGTTATCTTATACAAATTTTATCAAATTGGTTTTAACACCCAAAATATTCAGTTTTCTTTAAAAAATAATATTTTATTTCTTATTTAATAACATCAAAAATTTAACAATTTCATTTTTTCACCTGGAATGTTTTTTTTATATATATTTCTCAATTTTTTCTACCGCTCAAATGGGCAGTTTTTGAACTTGCAGTCACTCAGGCTTCCTCCCCTCAAAATTTCGTTTATCACTTTCAAAACCGGCGCTCTTCCGCATCCCAGTTCATTGTCCCAATCGTCCCAAGTAATTTCCTCCATGTAAACTCCACCCAATCGCATTGAACGTACCAATTCGCACCTCTTCAATACAAACTGCAAGTCCTCGATCGCGAACCAAAAAATTCCGTCCGAAGCAAAAGATTGCATCGTGTAGTTTAAAGTGACCGCGTACGACTTTGACCTCTGCAGCTCCAACATGTACTTTAACCGAATTTAAAAAATATTTATGTCGGTAATAACAAAAAATTATACCTCTCTCCAAATTACATTTGAGTGGAAAAAAGCTAGAATGTTGTAACCAATCGCGTTAGGGGCGAATTTTGCCCCTAGTTTCATCTTCATTGTGTTTCCCTTGAAGGCAGAAAATATTATTTTCCTTCCGTCTCCAATTTGAGCGACGAAATCACGCATCAAATTTAACTGAAAAAAAAAATCAAAATTGAAGTAAAAAATTTATTTTTGTAAACCTGGATGTCGAATGGAATATTAGGGCCGGTGTAGACTTCATTCGAGATCATGTAGTCGCCGTTGAGCACCAGCAGGAAGTCGACCGCCTTGTAAAGTCGCGAGTTCAGAGTCTGGCTGAGGAGAAACTCTTTCTTGGTTGTGACCAGAGTCGCCAAAAGCAGACCTTCCTTCCCCAATACTTCCGACAAGGTCTCGACCAAACTGGTGAAGTTGAACTTTTCCAAACGGGCATTCGCGTTGCTTAGAATGGGCAATTCCTACCAATCAAAAATTTACTAATGAAATTAAAAATTAATTAAAATCCTACGTAGGGAACTCCAGGCCAGACCCATCTCAAATACACGCCGTCCACTTTCCAGATTTTGGCCGTATCCAAAACGCTCGCCGCGAATTGAGACCTAAGCTGTGTGTCAAAACTTATTCTGGCCAAATCTGCAGGCGACACGAGTTGCTCAGCCAGATCATTTGCGTCGTCCCCGATGGCGAGAAAAACTTTCATTTCCCGCATTTTATAAACTTGCACCATAGACTGAAATTCTGCACTGATGAATTAGTCGAATGAATTGAAAATTTTCCAAGTTTTAACCTTTCGAGTAATTTCGATTGTCCATCAACTGGACGGTCCCTTTCTTCAGGATTAGTCCGTCTGAAATTATGACGTGGGTACATAATTTAGAATCAACCATCATTCTTTCTATTGGTTTTCTCCCATTTCTCTTGAAAATGCTATAGAAATGTCTTATGTAATTATCAAAAATTGGAAATTTTAGTGAACCGACTTGCGACTGATGGTGCAGAAAACGCTTTTTCTGTTGTCCCAAGGCACGAACTGTTTGGCCAAACAGGAATTTCCTTTCGACTCGGCCACTGCTCTTAAAAAATTCATAATTATGATTTTTTTTAACAAAATTTTTTACTCCCCGCTCCAAACTTTGAGTAGAGACACGTCTCGTTGCTTTTTGAATCGATTTCCAAACACTGGGCCACGCAGGACCGCATGGCCGACGTAAAATTTGGCTTTCGCAAAATTCCATCGCTTAGACAAGGCACCGAACTTGTCGTTTTCATGATGAGAATCGCCGCCGACAGAATTTCAAAAATCATTTTTCCTGACATCAATTGCTGTATGGCGAGCTCCACATCCGTGCAAAGTATGACCACGAAAAATTACCTCGATATCCGCTTAAAATCTCATTATATTTTTTATATATTCGGAATTGGAAAGCATGTCCGCTATTAAAATACCATTGGTGAAATTTCTAACCTTGGGTTTTATCGGCCTAATTTTTCTCATTCGCATAAAATGTTCTGCAGTTAAAAGGGAATTTGTCGTGATTATTTTATCTCCATTATGTGAATTTATTGCAACACAACACAACAACAAAAAACTATTTTTCAACCTAATTGGAAACAAAATCAAATCGACAAAATACTCCACAAGAGAATCTAAATTGTAAGGTCTACTGGTAATTTTAAAATCTAGGATTTCTAGCGTCCACGATGAATGTAAAATAAACACTATAATTTTTTTTACAAGATTAAGCCCAGGTTCGATTTTTTCATGAAATTCAACTTTTTGCGTTAACTTTCAACAGAATAATAATTTGTGCTTGTTGTTTTGATCAAACAGAAACAAACTCGAGCTTTGTGTCACATATTTTGTCCTCAAATCCCGTCATCGGGTTCGATCTATTTTCGGAAAAGGGTCCTTGGGGATGCACCCTTCATTTCTGTCCTCTCTGTCATCTTATAATTAAATCACGTCCCACGATGAAAGGGGAACGCAGAGGAATTAAAGGATTTGAATAGCGAGTTTTCAACAAAGACTTTTTAACATCAAATAAGCATTGAAAGTCCTTTCAAATTCGAGACAATTTTAAAATATTTCCAAACTTCAACTTTTAGTTAGAATAACAAAGCTAAATTGTCATTATTTCTCCCTCGCGGCAGACGAATATGTGCGCAGCACAATACTGGTTTATTTCACAGTTTTCAGAAATTGCCGGCAGTGACGCCAACAGTCGCTCCTGCTTTTCCGGATCCTCTCCATCGACTTGCGGCGTTTGCTCACAGATGGCTCGCGAAAGCGGCGAAAGGCAATTCGCAAAAAAAAAAATTCATATTCTCGCACACGAGTAAATTTTTTTGAACAGTGAATTCCAATTTTTAATATAACTGGATTTATATGCGATGCTAAGAAAAGAACCCGCGAGTCGTGAAGAATTAAATGTGTGCGAAATCATTTTGTGTTGAGAATAAGCAAGACGAGCTCCTTAAATTATTTTCTCGGATGGAGTGACGCACGCAGAGCTCAGCGCGGAATGGAACGAGCGAACGAGCATTTATGTAATAAATTTCACGGCGGCGTAAATAAAATCTGTAGGTGTGCTCAAGAGAGATTGTGTGCGTCACTCCGAGTGGAAAAGCAGGCAGTGTGTCGAGGAAGCGGCGCGTTTTTCCTCGCTGCCGGTATTTGTTCAGACGCGAGGAATGGTGAGAGCGGCCAACGCTGTCACACTCGGATAGCATCGCAAATTCCAGAGAAAGGTGCGAAATGGAAAGAGCGTCCTCAAATTCTTGAAAATCCGTTGGAAGAATAGAAATATTTTTTTCCTCGGATTTCTCATAAAAGATTTGAAAATCTGGACTACCATAAATTTTAAACTAAACTTTCCCACTTTACGAAAAAAAAATCAGCAAATAATGGAGAGAAATGCGAATCAAAATCAGTACAATTTACATTTAATGAGCGATTTATGCTTATAGCTGTTCAGAGGCGTCTTGCCGGTTGCCTACATTCAAAATATGCAGGCGTTTGAGAAAAACGTCTTTCGATGAAGCGTTGCGCAGTTTTAATATCTTATTTTATAAAAAGAAAGTTCATTTTTATATCAGGACTAAATAATTTTATCTCCTTAAACCGCGGTAAAATCCTTTGCTCTTCCGTTGGGATTAGACCATTGACTCCCTTTCACTTGGGTGCAAACAAACGTGGTTTTCGGCCCAAAGAAAAGGAACACCTGAACACTTTTACACGCGGCGAATAGAGTGGTTGCGGGCATAAAAAGTTGCTGCGCCGAGTGGCCCTAGTTGGTTTTGGCGAAAACGTGCCGCGCCGCAAAACGACCCAGGCACGCCCACCCAATGTGTCTCGGATGAAATGTTAAAGGAAACGAAAGGGACGTGCGTGGAAATTTCATGCCCGTTTTAATTCAAACGTTTCGATTTTTTGCTCTGCGCGCTTCCGCCAAACGCAGTAATTCGGTTTGTCCGAATTTTCCGGCCGCTCCACTTTCGACAATTGGCCACCGAATAAGAAGAGAGAAAGAGAGAGTTCGCATTTTTCTCTGCACCATTCTCGATTGCCCACTCTGCGTCCTGCATTCTAATAAGATCCCTTTATCCATTATTTATTTATTTTTAAATTTGAGATCTATATAGTTATTTTTGGTGTATAGAAATTTAAAAAGTTGATATTATTTAAAAAAAAATCCAGAATAATTTTTTAATATTTTTGTTTAGCTTCATTGAACAATTTTATATGCAGCTTGTAAATTATATTGTTCTTATAATGACAAATAATTACATTAACAACAACTTATTTATTTTGGATTAAATTCAGCATATTTATTTTTCCAAAAAAAGGTGACTAAATCTAAAAGTTTTGTCATGAGAGTTGCGAAATTATAAATTACAAACAAGATTTGTTTAAAAATATTTTGAGCCGAATGTAAGAAATTGAGTTAAAAAGCTTTTTACTCATTGAAAGCAGATTATTTTGTTTAATTCATGTTGATTTTAAATTTTTTAAATGTGATAAACTTTCCAAAATACCTTTTATATTTTAATATTTATTTTTTTTCCAAACTTCTTTAAAAATATCGTTATTTGCAAAAATACTTGTGTTTCTTTATACAACAGAAGTTCCACGTTGTCCATTTGAATCCACTTTCACTCTGAAGTGTGGCAATTAAATGAATTTTTGGGAGACGCTTACTTGAGTTTCAAAAGTGCTTTGCATTGTTCTTCTGAGCGGGCGCAGAGCAAGGGTCGTACAAGAGGACGCAATTCTCAAAAAGCAGATTACGCACAAGAATCCACTCTCGGCTTGTTACTTTTTTTTCAACTCACATGTAACAAAATATAAAACATTCCTTAAAATTTTTATACATAAAATTTTCTGGATGATCACCAACATTTTTGTTTTAGAAAAAAAAAGTTTTTGTGCATAAAAAGGAGAGCGGCGTGTTTCGCACACGTTTTGCACCAACGGCCATGATAAAAATAAGACGTGAGCTGCGTTTTAAACTTTATTTTTGAATAAAACATTCGGCTTTTGTGTGCCGTTGTGCGTTTATTTCATCTTTCTCTCTGTCTGCCGGGCCGAAATTACGCCGTGAATATTTCATCGCGCGCCAGCACCATTTTCTTCTTTTCCTTGGCGCTCTTTTCATCACGTTTATTACGAATTTTTTCTCCGGCTAATCCACCGCCCTTGTTGATGCGCCACGCATTATCATTGCGTATCTCTCGTTTACCTAACGAACTTCCACTTAAATCAGCCCGGAACATATTTGATTGAAATTTTCAGGAAAAAATAATAAATAATATTTTGTGATTTTTTGCAGCGAGCAACAATGTGCAGCCACAGCGCTTATTTTTCATCAACGGTCTCAACCCAGGCTCCAAGTACAGACTGCGGGTGATCGCCCATAACGCCGCCGGCTCCACGACTGCCAACTTAATCGCCACCACAACCACCACCAATGGCTTTCACGACTTATCAGGTACTAAATAAAACCTAAATTAATAAATTAATAATAAAAAACACACGGCGAAGTATTAAAAAAATCTTCATGAAATTAGACATCATTTTTCCTGAGTATCTGTTATGATGACAAATCACAAATAAACATTTTATTTTGCCTATATTTTTCAAGATTGCTGCCAATAATCACAATCTTATATTTTTTATTATAGTTTTTTAAATATATCATTCATTTTACACCTAGATTTGAACTCATGCACAATGCTAAATCATCAGTAGGAAGGAAAAAATAAAAGTTAAGTCCTAGAATATCAGATGAGTTTTTGAAATTCAAGTCTTCTCGTTCAAAACGACATCTCAACTCATATCTCCTCCTTACTATTATCTCAATGAAATCTATTTGATTTTTGGACCTGAAATTATTTTTATTTTGCAAGCCAAAAATTGTTTTTAAAATTTTACATTCACAGTTATGTTGGAACTTATTTTGATTTTTAATAAGTTTTTGTACAGACGACTTCAACGATATGGTAAAAAGAATAGTTAGGAGTCTCAAAGAAAATGAAATTTAACTATTTGCCCCTCTAATATCACAAGATGAATACCGCAAATTAAACTGGCATTAGTCTAGAAATTTGTTCAATATTAGTTTTCTTTTAATTTCTTTTTCGTTTTTTAAATTATTAATGTCTTTAATCTTCACTGCGAACGCAATTTATTATTTTATTTATATTATACAAATATTCAGATCAGACCCCTTTATAATATTTTAAATTGAATACAAATGACGTAATTTTTATAATTTCAAATTCAAATCGTTTATTCTCTCACAAGTCTTTATAAATTCCTTTTAAAGTTACTTTTTTGCTTCAGTGGTTTTCATAATTGCAAGTTATTTCCAAGTGTTAATTTTCCATGTGGTTGGATCTTGAGTTGATGTGTCGAGGGACTCGGTCTGGGCTGGCACGTGTTAGTCCCGGGCCCAATTACTCTCGTCTTAATTAAAGCGAATATTGTGTGCGTCTGTGTCCCGGGTGGCGTTAATTCGTTGTCAATTCGGTTTGCCGCAGCCACCGTGAACGCCAACGACGCGGAACGCAATCGGAACGACCTTGAGCGGCCACCACTGCACAGGGACGTTAAGGTCGTCGCCCCCCTCGCCATCTCCTGCCTCGCCATCCCCCTCAGCCTCCTCAGCGTCTGCTTCTGCCTCAAAAAGAGTGAGTACCATTTTCACTTTTCAATCAGAAACATTTTTGGCCTTTCTCGCTCCTGCATTATTTACTCAAAATTTCAAAAATTTCAAAATATTTAAGATCATTTTTGCGTCTCCATCGTTTTTATTTCAATTTTTTTTTACACCTAAAATCTAAAATACTTTCGAAACGTGCCGCGTTTGGGAATTTGTGACCCGCAAAAAATTATAACATTTTCAGAGAACATTTTTGTTATTGAATTTTTTTAATTTTCTTATGTATGCGATTTTTTTTAATAAAAATTTTACTTTTATGTCAGCCTTAAGAATGAAACGATGCGCCTTGGTGTGCCTTGTTAAATTGAAAGGAAATCACCGCGATGATCCACATTAAATAACAACATTAAGATTATAATTTTTATGCATTTTATTATAGTTTTTAGTCAATTTTTCTTAAATAAAAAATTGAAAGTGCTCAGTGATTTTAAAAAACTGTAAACAGACTAAATAAATTGACCATTTGAAAGGTTATTCTCTGCAAACCGTGTCTGGCTGCTCGCAAATGAAGAAAAAATTCGTCTCGCACGGATTGCTGTTGAGTTTTCCTTTCCCGAAGGAGGAGACGTAAACGCAGTCGTGACCCTTTTCCACTTTCTCTTCCCTCCACAACGGACTGTCCAATTTCAGTTTGGTTCCGTCGTGCCAAAGGAAGTCCACGTCCTTCTTTGCCGAAACCCACCAACCGAACACTAAAATCCGGAGAAAAAAATTATTTACATCAAGGGATTAACCTTTTTTAGTTTTATACGGGGAAGAAATGTTTGGGTTTCGGCCCACACCGCTTTGAGATCAGTCTCGTCATGAAAAGTCGCCAAGTGGAGGTTCAGTTCGGCACATGTCTCGTTTGCTTTCACCCAGTTTGTCTATCAAAACAAGTCACATAATTAAAATTTGGTTAAATTCAAGCAGGACTTACGGGATATCCAAGGTAATTACTTCTGTAGGAGAACATATATTTTTTCCCGTTCGACAACAACTTCAACTCGGCTATAATTATAAAAAAACATAATAATATGTAATTTTTTTTCTTTAATTATGAAAACTTGCAGGAAATGTTGAATTGCTCCCCTTTCTGAAATCATAAATTTTATTTCTAACAAAGACGGAAATCTTTAAAAATATCAAACCTTGTTTGATTGCAAATGGGAGTCGTGAGCCATGAAGAAGGTGGCGAGGAGGCCCAACAACAAAACACGCATTTTGTTTGTGTGACTCTTGATATGCAAATGATCAAGCCACAGACCAGTGCCTTTTATCACTGACCTATGACACCAACGTACTTACGATAAAAATCATATCATGGGAAATATGAAAGGATTTTAAAATTACAAAGAACAATCTAAAATAAAATTTTTCCAGCATCCGCGAGTTGATTCTTACAATTAGCTACTTTTGAATTTAAATTGAATCCTAATTTGTCAAAACTAAAAATAAAATTAAAACTTTTAATAACATATTAAAACAAAAATAAAATTAAATCGAATTGTAGTTAATTAAATTTCAGAAGGAAAAATTCAGACTAAAATATATATTTTTTTGCTTCTTTTGAGAGAATGATTTTGATTTATTTATTTATGGGTCTTTTTATTCCGAACAAACAGCAGGTTAATTAATTTAAAACAGACTCATCGTCAGAAGCATGAGCTCGGAAGTTCACAAATGAAATAATAAACGTAGTTGCATAGGTAGGTGTGCAATTTTTTGCTGTTGGGACAGTGGTCATTATTTCCATAGTTAAAGATGAAAACGCAGTCCTCCGTCTTGTCCGCCCCGGCCTTCCACAAAGGACTGTCCATTTCCAGTTTGGTCCCGTCGTGCCACCGGAAATCCCTTCTGCCTTCGATTCCTGAGTTTTTCGCCGAAACCCACCAAACCTCCCCTGAATTTTTGCATCATTAAAATATTGGAAATTCAAGAATATTTATTAAAATTTACACTTTCCAAATTTTTGGCCTTCTTCAGCCACAACTTGCGCGTCCTTCTGATCTTTGATTGTGGCCAAGTGGAGGCCCATTTTGTTACAAGACTCGTTTGCAGCATTCCAGTTTTCCTGCCGAGGAAAAAAGCAAAACCAGACAAATGAAAACAGTTATTAATTTATTAGGCTCACATAAATTTGATGGAACGAGTACATTTTTCCATTTGACAGCATCGTCAAATTAGCGAATCCTGAAAATTGTTCACACTTGAATTTTAAAATTTTAATTTTTTCCATTTTCTCTTTTGAATATCAAGTGCAAAAATCGTGGGTTTTGTCAGATTTGATAATAAAAACTTACTAGCAAGTGGACATTTAACCAAGTAATCAGAATTTTCCGACTGAAAGATATTGAGAGGTTTAATGAATATTAATAATTTATTTTCAATAAGAATAAACCTTGTTGTGTTGTTCGTTGGCCAAATCACTCGTATCTGTTCGATTTTCATGTTCTAAAGTCTGCGTAATGAACTCGGAAAATCAATAAGAAAATTCAAAGAAATAATTTCATACCAAATTTCTTGTAAAAATAAGCTCTTCGTGGTTTTGTTTGGCCAAATCGCTCGCATTTGTTTGATTGAAATTTTCCAAAGTCTGCGAAAAGAACTCTGAAAAATTAAAATACATAGACGAGGAAATTTTTCCGTCAATACTCTTATTTGAAAAAAAAATCATTGCTCTTTCATTGTTAATAATACATTGTTTAAAAATATAATAAATTAAATTTCTTGCTTTGCAAATTGAAAATTTAATTTAACCAGATTGTTTCGTTGGTCCACGAGTGTGGCCAATTCTTCAATCCTGCCGTTGTTTGCCTCGTCCAAAGTTCTCTTCATCTCCTCAAACGTCTATTATAAAGAAAAATGATTAATTTTCATTATAAACTACTTTTATCGATGATACATTTGGGAAATTGAAATTTTATATTATTATATTTATTTATTTATTTTATTGAAATTTTTTATTAATATAATTTCAACTTCAAAATGTAATTTAATATTTTTAGTTTCCATTTTCCAAAGTGTTAATTTATAGGTCAAATGAAAAACAACCTGATTGTGACGCTCGTCTGAGAGTCTTGCCAATTCATCCAGCCTCTGGCTGGTCTCTTTGAAATTTTTCTTCCGCTCGTCACTTTCCTCCTCCACCAGCTTTCTCATCTCGACGACCTGTGAAAATAGTTTGACAATTTATTTCAGCACACGTACGCTGCTTTTTTTGTGTTTGGTTTGGCTACAGAAATTTGATTTTATTAATTGATACCTGTTCAAAGACAAGTGTCGTCAATCTCTGCAGTTTCTCGTTTGTATTCTTAATTTTCTGCGTCAGCTCCTCCATTTCTTGCTTCTGCAAATTTTGAAATAATATTTAAAATCATATAAAATTTGAAACAATTTTAAAAACTAAATTTCTATGCTGAAGATAAACCTCATTTTTTAAAAAAAATTTCAAATCTATTATATATTTAGTCTGTAATATTATGGGTAACAAAATATGAGAAAAATTTAACACTATTAATTGTGAGTAAATTATGATTCGGATTTTTGTAATTTAGATGCAATTTTTTCAAGAAATTCTTTTGTAAAATTATAATGGAGGATATTCACATGCTAAGTAAGCTTTTATGGGAATTTCTGGTACTTCTAGCATGTGAATTTCCCCCAATAATAATAATAATCCAAAATCCAAATGCTTTGGCATAATTTTGAAAATTTTCATCGCATACCTTGATTGAAGGGCCAGTTAACTCTGCGGTGTTGTCCACAACGGTGGCCAAGGAGAAAAATAATAACAAATAAAACAGCATTATTTTCTAAATTTCCTATTCTCTTGATTCCGCGGCGAATCTCGAATCATGAGTGATAAGTGTGTGCCTAAAGCGAAATGACGCCCTTTGCCCTTCGACAAAAAAAAAATACGAGATTATTGTCCGAGAATTGAAATAGAACGATGAGATTTGCCGCGATTCAAATTCGTTTTGGGTCAACTTTGTGATGCAATAACTTCTTTCGTATTTTTATTTTTGCTAATTATTAAGTCTGCTAGTTCAGGATTTCAAAATTTTAAATATTTAAAAAGAAAAAATTCTATTATATTTAAAAAAAAAAAAATAATAAAAAGGTTTTCAAGTTGGAATGAAAAATTACACTGAATCACTTCTAAAGAATAAAATTTCTTCATTGGTTTAAACAACTCATGTATTTTAAAATTTATTTAATAAAATAAAAATAGAATTAGTAACATACAGTGTGAATCCACAAAAGCTGCACACGCTATTTCAAAATTGTCTAATATTCCATTTACTTAACTGGTTAGGCTGCACACGTTGGGTAGATAATATACCAAAATTTTTACTTTATTTAGGGAATTTTTTATTTAAGGCTAAATTGTTTTTGTGAATCAGTATATTGGTTTCTGCGTGGAGGATGGCCACACACGACATCCAAAATCGGTCCATCGTCTCTTGATGAATGCACTGACAATGAATTGTTATCAGGTCAATCTCACCGCCCTTTGTGCTCGATACGAAAATTTGAAAACAAACAAACGCCAAATTACATAATAAAAGTTTTGTCTCGAATCATCAGTATAATTGTTGTCTACTAATCCAACTATGATTAATATCTTAAATTACTAAATCGTGTTACACAGCAAGAATCATGAGAGTAAAGTGTAGCAAAATAATCAAATTAAAAATTTCGAATGTTTTTTTCAGTAACATTCTGGAGGCAACTCGCAAATATAGTTTTTAGGGAAAAGGCAAGTGCCGCAAAAGAGTTTTCTTAAATCAGTCGTTCCAATTTCGACGCAGGCTCTTCTGGTACTGCAGGCAGGGTCCGGAGCCCACAACCTACTATTTTCCTCAAATTTCGATCCGTCCTGCCAACGGAAGTCCAAATGATCGTCATCTTTTCCGTAGTTTCTGGCCGACACCCACCACGGCAAGACTAAAAAATATTTAAATAAATTATTGCGGTTCAAATAAATATTTTAAAAGGTGCCGTGGAAATTTTACAAATTTAAGCAGTTGGAATCATGATAAATTTTATTGATTTAATTTTTTTGACGATAATTCTTTGGGAAAAGTTGACAGATTTTGCAATATTTAAAAATTATACCATTATTCAAAAAGATATTCCTTAAAATATAATTTAACTTAATATAATTAAAATAATATCAAAAAACTGGTTTGTAAAATTTGTTAAATTTGTTACACAAAGTTCTTAATTAGGTGCTATTCAATAATACATTTTAGTTTGATTTTCTGAATTTTCCAGCCTCCGCCTTTACAAAATAAATCTTACCATCATCAAGTATCACTGCTGCCTGCATATGCAGAATTTCCAGCTCTTTTTGGTTCCTCACGCTGAAAAAATGGAGGCCCATCTCGACGCAACTCTTGTTCGCATTTGTGTAGTTTTTCTGATCAAACGATTTGACCTAACAAAAAGAAGAAAAAAAGTGAAAACATTTTATGTACATAAGTATATTATATTTTAATACTGGAGAAAAATAGTACTGTTTGCCGTTGTTAGATTTGCTGAACCTATAAATTTAATAGTTTACATTATAATATTGAAAAAAAAAATGAAAACTTACGGGCCAAATCGCAGGACGTCTGATTTACCTATTTTTAATGATTAATTTTTTTATTAATAAAATAATACTGAAAAGATTAAAGAAAAATCATTCTAGAATAATTTTGAGCTTTACCTGGGCTGGTTGATCGATTTTCTGGGCTTCTACGATGACGAGAATGGAGAGGAGAAACAAAAAGCGACCCATCTTAAAAATAACTTGCAGCCCAAGTGATTCTGAATTCATATCAATGCCAGCAGATGGTTTTTATCTGAATGCCCTGTGACCTCTCCAGCCGCTAAAATTTTGATAAAAAGACACCAAAACATCATCAAATCAATTTATTTAAATCAAAATATAAATTAACTAAATACATTTGTACTTATTATTTAATATTTTTTTTTAATCAATTTTATATTAATTTCAGTTTTTTTTTGTCTCAAAATTTGATTATTTAATTTTAATTTTTATTTGTTATTTTATAAAAAGTGTATGTATAGTTTAAAAATTTAACAGACATCAATTAAATTTTACAAATAAAAACTAAACTGTAATTATTCTAATAATTTAAAAAGAAAATAAAAAGTCTAATAATTATTATACTTATTAACTAGTAAATATTTTTGTAATTAATTAGATTTTAATTTTTTGTTAATAAGTTTGTTTATTTAATGTCACATTTTATTTTTCATTTAATAAAAATATTTTGTATTTATTTAAATAGTTTAAAAATTTTACACACAGAAAGACTAAATTAATATTCTAATAATTAAAAATGGAAAATAAAAATAGATTTAAAAAAAAAGCATGAATAATCATAATCTCAACTTATAGAGTATGAGGATTTTAATTTTCCAGATATAATACTTAAAAAAAGGTCAAACATTGCAACCTTTTTAAATTTTTTTAGACACAGGCAAAAAAAGGAGAGAATCGTCGTAAAACAATACATTAAACAACCTTTTCATTAATTTAATTACAAAGTTGAAATTCCCGAATTATATTTATATACAAGATTCCTCGGATATTCCAGACCCTTTAAGCAAATTCCTCTTGCATCCCCGGCGCCCTTTGTTGTGCCTCCCTCGTAAAATTTCGCGGCGCACACACATTTCATTAAAGATGATTGCTGCGAAAGCCGTAAAGTTTCGCTCTCTCGCGGCGCCATTGCGGGTTTATCGCCGTGCCATGCCGACGTGTGCGCGCCACCGATAAAATTATTTCATTTTTCAGGCCTTTCAAAACTGCTTATTCGACCGGGTGCGCATTAAACGAAATGGCTGATTAATTTCGTCCATTGTTCAGACGCGTGTTTACTCAACTGGAGCAGTAAAAAAAATTAAATAAACACTTTTAAGAAAAGGTGTGTAGGGGTTTGCTAATGAGCAAAAAACCGGCCAGACTGTTTCTCTTCCACCGAACTTGTTTTGCAAACAAATAAATGCAGTCTCGGTCTGGCAAATACTTCGTGGAAATTGTTCTTCTTAAACAACAAATAATTTTCTTCCGACAAGAACCTATTTTTTACTAGCAAATTAATAAGTTTTCAAATTTTAAAAGCCTCGTTTAAAAAAATTAATCTATCAAAAGATTAACTTAAACATTTTAAAAAATTGTACGTTTATTTTTATAATATCGCTGCTTTAATTTAATGAATTTTTCCCATATTTTTATTTTAATTATGATCTTGATGTCTTAATTTTCCTCTACATGGGGAAAACTTCACAATTTATGAAAATAGAACTTGCAAAATTCTGGTATGGTTTTGCTAATTGTGAAAAATACTAAATTTTCAGTAGAAATAAAGGTGAATTGGGTGCAAACAGCCAAATCCACGTCAAAATTTTAAGTTTTAGATTAAAATTTTATTAGAAAATTTTGTTAAAGCAGAAAATTATCAAATTTTTAGTTATTCCAGGTGAAAAATAGTTATTATTTTCTAATGCTGATGAATAATTTATGTAAAAACGTGATTTATTTTAGGCTTCGTTAATTTTTAACCAAAATCGGTCATCCCATCTTTGTTGGTTCTTGTGAGGAATAATTTCACACTTTTATGATAAATTTGTTTTTAAACTGATTTTCTATTCATATTTGTTCGCAGAAAACGCGGGTGGCGCGAGTTCGGCGGCGTCGGCGGCGAGTCTGCAGAACCACTCGAACTCGGCGTCGGAGAGCAAGTCGGCGGCGCAGCAATACTACGCGACGGTGCGAAAACCGCCGCCATCGCCGGCGCCCGATTTCGCAACATTAGAATGCATACCAGGTAGGTTGAGGCGAAATGCAAATATTTGAGAGACTCAATCTCTGGCGCCGGTTCATTTGAATACATAAGCCACACACCGCCCCCTGAATTAAACGGGCGCGCGCGAAGAGAGAGGAACGTGATTTATGGAGGGCGAATATTGCAGAGAATTGAAGAGAATGAAGGCCCAAATGGATTCACAAAAAGAGTGGAAAAGAGCGACTTCATAGTCTTAAATATCTTTAGATTTTCGTGGGGGGTTGTTTTTGTGTTAATTTAAATTATTTTTTATTTAAATATTATTTTAAAATTTCAAAATGAGATAAAAAAATTTAAAATTCTTAATAAAATTGTAATTTAAATAATTTTTCCTATAAAAATAAATTAATTTATAATTTTATTTACTATTTTCTGTATTTATTTGCTTAGAACTCGATCCGTTTGTGTTTGTTTAGGTAGGAACGCATAAACACAGTAAATTGAATGGGTCGTTTAAGGAAAATTGAAATCCCCCGCGAGAGGTTCTTATTTTCGCCCTGCTAAGCCCGGGGTGCGTGTTTCTGCGACGTGTTTTTCCTCTCATATTTCTCAGCACTCGCGCGCGCATTACGTGACGTTTTCTATTTAAACTCGGGGCCCGCCTGCTTTTACGCAGAGTTGTGTGTGTGTGTGTGTTGTTGGCCAAATGGGCATTCGGGGACTGCGGCGGAGTAACGGAGAAAATATTAAAGTTTTTGCGCCGGAGAGCCGAGCATTAGCATGCAAATGAGGAATAATTAATGAATCAGAATACGGCCGGGTGACAGAAAAACTGATGACTCTTTTGGGAAGTAATCAAAAGAAATTGTGCGCGCCCTTTTCCCTTTTCCCAATGTGAATATTCAGCAGTTGAGGCGCGTGCTTGAGTTTTATTAAAAATGGAATGAAATGTGGCGTCAATGGAATCATCATTCACTCAAAAATTTCCTCTCATTCACAGAAAATTGTGCACAAAAAGTATCCAAAGTGGAAGAGCTGATTGATTTCGTCATTAATGACCAGCAAAAAATTGCTAATAAAAAAATTTACTGATTCTTAGACAAATTCCCCACCTCTGATTCCTCATTTCTAGTTCATTTTCCCCTTAATTCCCTCACTTCCTTTTTAAATTTTCCGTCTTTCACCTTTTATTCTTCATTCATCTACTTTTTCTTTCTAAATACACTGATTCAAATATCCTTCAAATTCCCACCTACTTTTGTCAATTTTCAACTTTCCCCTCTCTTAAAAACACCTTTTTTATTTCCCCTTTGATACCCCCACCCTCTCATTCCTCTCTTATTTTTTTTTGCATCTCGTTTTATGAACATTTTTTGAGTAAACTTTTGTATTGATCTCGACAGAGTACTCTGAGGACATTTACCCGTATGCGACGTTCCACGTGCCGCCTCCGCCCGCCCCCGCGCCCCACGAGGAGGCGATGAGCACCAAACTGCAAACGTTCGTGTACCGCGGAATTGGCGCCGAACTGATGCAGGGCGCCTCGTTCCGACACCTGCCGTCGCCGCCCAGGGCTAAACCGCAGGTTTGTGTTCAGCTGCTCAAACCAATTTGCACCCCGACCGGCTTTTTGCAACCCTTGTAGCTCATCCACCCCCGGGCCGTTCTCGGAATTGTCAATTCCAACCCTTTGTTCCTATATTGAGCTTCAAGTTTATTTCAATATTTGTTGTCGTCAGCAGTGAAATACAATATTGCAAAATCTTTTTTCCCTACATCTTGATAAGACCAAGACAAATTGGGGTATTTTTTATTTTAAATATTTTAATAAATAATTTATTTTCAAGAGTTCTAACAAAGTACTTTAATTTCAGCCTAAATTCATGAGCACTTTTTTAATGAAACGGTGGATTTCCGTCCTGCTCTCTTGTTAGTCCCAAAATAAACGCATGTTTACCAAAAGCACGTCTCTGCCTCCCTTTTGCTGATAAGGTTGTTCTCTTTTCGTTCGCGATAATCGGCCGACGTGCTTCTCAGCCAAACAACAGGTCGATACACGCCTCTCTAATTTGCATATTATAATTGACTCCTGCGATCGATGGCAAATCAGACATCCACCTTGCGCGAAAGAACAAGTTTTTTTTCATCAAATCGAAATTACTTTTATTCTTTTTTATCCTGCACTTGCCAAGTTGGCAAACTCGCCGGCGCGCATTATGCTCGCGGCTAATGAAGTGAAAATCCCCTTTTAATCCCACGCTCCACAGCCTCCCTTTTTCCTCTCTGCTGCCGGCGGAGAAACTTTTAAAACCACTCTGCTTCCGATCTTTCAATCCAAATGTTTGCCTTATCAAGACGGCGCTCAATCAAGGATTTTTAAAATTACGGAGAAGATGTTTTTTATAATTTATCTTTGGATTTAAAGATTTAATTTCCATAAAATTGAATAATTTCTATTTAAATCATATGTAGAAATAATTATTTAAAATTAAATTTGTATCTGAAAGGATTTTCAGATGAAACACAAGAATAAATTAACCTTTTCTTTTTACAAGAAAAATAAATTTCTTTATAATTTAGATATTTGGAATCGTCGGAAAATTCTCACCAGTCCCAAACCACAAATAAAATCCCCCACCCCTCTAAGTAAACCAGTTATTTTTTATTTTAAAATTGACCTATTCCCATGTCAGGGTCCAAAATCGGACAGGCAGAAGCGGAATCGGTGCAAGCTGAAGACGGACAGGCGCGAAAGCGAGGAGTACGACAGCTTCAACTCCGAGTCGGACACCGAACAGGGCACGTCGAGTCGCACCGAGTCGTCCAACCAGCTGGATGACAACCTTCATCCCGCCCTGAATGCAGGTGGGATGGCCGCTGGGGTCGAGTGCCGGTAAACAACCCCACTGACAACCTCAAACGCATTTTTTATACTCTTTCCAATTTTTTAGATTTTTTACAAAAAAGAAAAAAAGGAGTAGAAATTTTTGAACCTTTGGTGATGAAAGGGATGAGAAAATTAGTGTAATTTGTGTGGATGTTTTCGCAGATTTACTTTACCCAGGAGGGCTCGAATCAAGCACGTCCACCGAGCCGTCTCCCATTGCTGAGCGCCGCCTCAGGGCTTTGGGCATTAAGACGCCAAACAAATCTGCAAGGTTTGTTGAAATTTATTAATTTAATTGAAACGTCACTATAAAAAAATTAGTTCATAACTTCATAAAATTAGTCAAGACTAATTTATGGAACAATTAATAAAATCAAGATTTATTTTTACTTTTGGTCCCAATATTTTTAAATTTATAACCTTTTTTCACTGTAAAGAATTAAATTTCATAAAAAATATCACATTTTTTATGGAAACCTGCCTTCATAATTAAAAAGTTCCTTTTAATGAGAATTTATTTATTTTTATCGAAGTGTAATTTTGTGAATCCTATGGGGTTATATTTAATCTAGTTTTACAATAATTTTTATTTATATGTATGTGCTAAACGCGCTTAGAGAGAGAGAGTAGGTTTATAAGCATGAACAGGCAGGGAGAATTGTATACCTGAGTGCGAGGGGGTCGCGCGAACACATGTATTGCCACCCCTGACCTAAATAAAAATACACGCATAGATTTTAAGGCGCTCATTGGTCTAGGCATATAATGTAAGGAGGGGTTTATTTTTCGTCAAACTGATTCTAGCCCGAAATTAAAAAGAAAAATCAGACTTCACCTTCCGCTGGTCGAGTGCAGGACCTTTGACTCAAATTAGCAGACTCAAAAGTTTAGTGGCTAATCTTTTGACGAAAAATACTCCAACCCACAAGGCATTCATCCAAGCCGCGCTCTGAGCAAGGAGTAACAGGTTCGAGTTATTTTGTGCTAATTTGTGCCCATTTACTGTTGTACCAACGGCTTGTTTTAATTTTATTTAATTTGGAAAAAGTTCATTCTCTCTAGAGTATAAGTAAACAGTTAATAGAAGAAAATTAGACTGTCGATCCAAAGCAGTCCACAAGCCTTTACGTATTAAGGTTAAAAATCTCTCTCTCGTTTATTACGATTTTAAGGACCCTTGGTTTATTTTATTTTATTTTATTTTGGTTTATAATATTTCATACTGTATGTTTATGTACGAAAACAGTTATATTCATAAACAGTAAACAATATACAAAAGAATAGAAACCATAAAACTTTTATCAGTATTTTTGTAACGCTTTTTATTGAACAATTAAAATATTACTTTCTTCTTATTAAAATTTATATTATATTTGTTTAAATTAAACACAAATGAAACCTTTTAGTTTATTGCAATAATAAGTTTAAATATGATAGTAAACAGATACGAATATAAAGTTCAAATCCAATAAAAGAATTAAGGTTTAATAAGTAGTGAAAAAAATAATTAAATTCGCTCATTATGGCCAGGCCTGAAAGTGTGTTTCTATGAAGTACTTATTGAAGTAGGTACGCATTCTGTACTAGGGTATTTTTATTTAATGAAGAGCGCCAAATCAACTAATAATAAAAGTACCTGCCAGTGTGCGTGCTCTCGGGAGAAACAAAAATATAAAAGGCGCATTTTTCTCCCCCTCAATCGGACAGGCACCGATTGAATGAAACGGTCGCCTCGTCCACTTTCCCTTTTTACCTGCCGAGTTAGATTTACAAATAAAAATAGACGTCTGAAAGAAATGAGATAATCGCTTCTATAAGTCTTTGTAGATTCGCGCGCAAAGCGGTTTTGGTTTTTCATATAGATAACTTAATTTAAAATTCATTTAAAAAAAAAAACCCCTTTCAATAAATTCATTTCTAACCCCCCCCCCCCCCCGCTTTCACATGGTGTCAGTTTTTTTTCTCACGCGCCCAATTAGTATTTTAAATTAATTTCCGCTTAAATATTTCAATATTGTTTGTTAAAAATATAAAAATATTCATAATGACTTCAATTTTTTCTCTTTTTATTGATTTGAATCTTTAAGTTCATCTCAATGTGTTTAATTAATCATTTTTTATTCTTAGAATATTAAAATGTTAATTATTGAACTATCAGAAATATTTTTCTTGCTGAATTACGTATTTCAAACTTAAATTTTTTTTTTTTTTTAATAGTATTTTATTTGCATATACATTTTTGATTGAATTTAATAGATTCCACACAATTCAAAAATAAAATAAACCAAGTTTTAGGGATCTAAGGTTTTTTCGGAACTAGGTTTAACTAAAATAAAAGCCACTCGGAACTGTATTTTCCAAAAGAAATGACTCGCCACTATTGACAGAAATTCGTGTCTATAATTGAGATAACTGGAGGATAGGTTGGATTGGGACGATACATTAAATATCCAAGAGGCCGTATTTAAATTTACAGGCCGCGCACATATATAAGCAAAAATTTCAAACTTTTGACATACACAAAAATGTGTTCTTAAATAATAACGTAGTGATTAAAATCAATTTTATCATAAACTTAGAAATCAAGCGATGGAAAAATTATAATATATAACCAAAATTATATTTTTCCACTTTTTTCTTTCCAAATAATTTCCATAAAACAAATAGAAAAATAAGAATCTAAGCTGCCTAACGGGAATTTTCTCGGGGCCAGCGTCGTATCTTTTTGCACCGCGCAACAACAATGATTCCAGGAGCATACAAACAAAAAAACGTCCTGTTTGCCTTTTCGAAACGTGCTTTTTACCATCTTATACACGCTTAAAATTCCTTCGCGCCTCTTTATGACCAGCTCAGGACCGCTGTATTCTATCACACAATACACTACCCAAACGCTTTTCTATACACACGTCTTTAGTGACCCATTTTTCCTTTGGGACCTTAACGCACAAAAACACATGCATGCACAAAACGCACCCGCATTTTTTTTACTCAAAAAATAACAACTTAACACTTACACAAAAAACAAAAATTTGTACGAGCAACAATCGCGGATAAGATTTCACTCGTCAAGAAAAAACGACCAGGGTCGCGAACGCTTTTATTCGCACCGGCAATTCATGCCTTCTTTTCACGCTCAAAACAGTGCATGGCCTTTTTAGGTCACATTCCTTCTACCCATACAAATTCAGGTAACAAGCAATACAACACGGCTCTTAAAATTTCACAAAAAAAAAAAAAAATCTGGAAAAAAATCTGTTTATGTGCAAGTGCAAGTTTTTCAGACTGTCTTTTTTACACTGAATATCAATAAAATAATCCATCTTATAACCTGAATGGACAGAAACAAACAAATATATTTTAATTCTAACACCAGCAAGGAAATTTTTTTTTTAAAAAAAGTAAATTTTTTCTTTAATTTATTCCAAGACAAATAAATAAAACCGAAATAGATTGGTATCAAATGTTTCAAATTATCCACTCGTAAATTGATTAACAAAAGTAAAAAGTTAAACAAACCTTTTTAATTATTTATTCTCCATAATTAAAAAGTGCCATTAAAATTTTAGCTGAATTTTTCTTTATTAGTTAATAATAATAACCGGTCCCAATTTATCCTGAACCATCCGGCTCGATTATAAATGGGGTGCTTGTAAATATTGTAAATTCAAGGATCCAAGTTTTGTACAATTTTCTGCCCTGCCGTATATCTAGTGAGTGGTCCTCCACGAGGATAAGGTTAGTACAGTTCTGTTGCATAGGGATTAAGTCCAAGCTGTCCTATACAAAATTTAGAATTAGAAAAAAATAAAAAGGAATCGTTGGACTTTTTCTAACAAGGTAGTCTCAAGATGCTCTGTCAAGGTGACCAAAGAAGAGGCTCAGCAGGCAGATGTTTTGCGTGACTAACAGTCTGGGCTGCTAAATGAAATTAAATAAAGGACGGGATTTGTCAGAGTACGGGCCTAATAACTGCATATTTTTACTGGATGAGATTAGAGACCTCTTCTTACTAGCGAATGAAATGAATATAACGCTAGTTAAATGAAATTGAATAATCTGACGTCACGTGTAGTATGTAGTAAAGAGATGAACTATAAAAAAAAGGTACTTACTAAATGGGCAAGAGCTAGTATGTAACAAAAAACAAAGAGAGAGTAATCAAACGAAAAAAGATAATATCATTTAAAGACAAAGTTTGTACTTAAATGAATGAAATAATGAGAAACAACGATTTTTGAACAAAATCGAAACACATATTCAAAGAAAAATAATAATCGATTAAAAGTATAGTTTTTTTTATTTTTTTTTTTTTTTTAATAATCATTCAGATTAAAAGGAATGATATTCGACTAATATTTATAACAAAAGTATAATCAAAAGGAACAATATGAAATAATAAATAAAAGAAAATTAAACGATTTAGAATATATTAATTTTTAAATGAATTAACCGTTTCAGTAAAACGGAATATTTTTTTTAATTATTATTATTAATTTTTATATTTTGACCAACGTTTTTTTTTTTTTTTTTTTTACACCCCACGATAAAATAACAAATTCAAATAATCTTACTTGCTACCTCAACAATAGTATATAAATATCTTAATTTTTTTTATAAAAACTTTAACAATAAAGAACAATAATAATAATAACAACATCAAGCCAAATCAGCTATAATTATCTTCCTACAGTGCTACTGCAATAAATTATATTATTTAGAAGAATTTATATATCTAAAACAATCAAAATTTTTTAGTATTTTTTCCATTTTTCGAATATTTTTTACAATAGAAAAATGCCTCCCTCTGCAAAAAACGTGTATTGCAGTAATTCAAGTATTAATTATTTAAAAAAAAAAAAGTTAATTTGTACTTTCTCGATAGTTTGCATTTGCCACGGCGGCCGAATCTCTTTTAATGACGGGCGCTTTAACAAACATCTGCTATTGTTTTTTTCCCCCCAAATTAAAATCCTAATATTGACCGAGAAGAATAATAATTATTTTTAAAGAAAAACTCACAACTCCCAAAACAAACAAATAATTACGACATTTTTATCCGATCCAAATTTTTTTTTTTCTAAATAAATGCAATTTCAAAATATTTCAATTATTATTTTTATAAAGCCACACATTAATTCACGAATCTGATCTGAACTCCATATTAATTTAAATACTATCCAATGTAAATAATAATAACAATGAAATAACAATACCTTATTTTGCTTTTCCAAGCTTCTCTTCTCACTGTTAAAAAAAAAGTAATAATATTAGCTCCGTTTTCTTCATAATTAAACGACTAAAACTTTTTTTTTAACAAAAAATAACTGGCTATACTTTTCAGTTTCAAAGAAAAGAAAAAACTTTTTTTACATTACTTGTGTGACTTATTAGAAAAAATTACCAGATTCACTGAAACAGTGTAAGTATTTTGCATGTTATTCAATATTGCACGTTCCAAGGTAATTAGTTAATCTTTTACAACATCGCTTTGATCAACGCATAAAATTTAAATTTTCATAAAATAGAAGTAAATTAATCAATATAATAAATTTGCCCTTGAAAAAACATTAATTTTAGATTACAGATTTTTTAATTATATCAAAATGATTAATTTACATACAATTCTGGAGGATAATATTTTTATTTTTACTCTAAAAAAAAAATTAAAAATTAGCAGAAACAATTTTAAAAATTCAAAACAATAAAATGTTAATTATAAATTATTATTAAGTATATCTCCTCTACTATCTTCGCCAAATTCAATAATTCTTTGGTTTGATCTATTATGGTTGTGGTTCTTTAGATTTAGATAGCGACTGCCATTTCTGTACTTTTGGTCACATTGGCATCATTCAGAAAATTTATTTCCATCTCTCAACAGCAAAATATTCAAGAGCATGTTCCTTCCGAAACTGCAAATCGACCTCTAAAATACGTCTAAATCTTCAACAATCAAATATAATGGAAATAAAACTCTTTTCAACCTAATGACAAATTACCTCTGTGTCAAACAATGCATGCTTAGTCTTCTTTCGACACATCAAGATAATCAGACGCAAAGGCATATAAAATAATGAACTACACCTATTTTATAAACCATATTTTTTTTTATTATTATTAAAATTGAAAAATTTAAAAATATACAATTTTCACCTATTTAAATATTATCAAAGAAATTTCAATTAATTTTTCTTTTCTATTCATTTCTCAAAGAATGCGAGTTTACCTCTTAAGTTTACACATTTATTTTTAATATTGAGTTTTTTTTTTTCATTTAAAAATTATTAACTTTTAATACGAAACCAAAGTACTAATTTTTTTTTCTTAATTTCACATATTTGATTTTTTTTTTTCATTTTCATTACATACATACATTTTTATTTTTATAAAAAATAATTAAAAAAAAAAAAAAGAATCATATTTTAGTAATTTTCAATCAAAAAATAATTAACATAAATTCAAAAACTTACTAAATGATTTGCATTTCAGATAAGATCTTCGGGATGTATTTTTACGGGCACAATACATACTTGTATCTCCAACAACCTTATATGTTATATTAAATTTTCGTTTATGTAACTTAATATTAGTAATTAGACCAATGAGCAATATTAACGCTATTTTAATTGTTTTAATTAGTAGTAATAGCACTTACTTAAACAACATTGACAAATTCACGATACGCAAATTTAAAATGAAATCATAATTAACATCATAATATTCATTCAATTACTACCTATACAGCATTGAGCAATTTTCAATCCTTTTTTTTTCCTTAAGAACCTTGATCCTTTTCTCTCAAAACCTAATGCCGAGTGTGTGACAATCAACTACATGAGGAGCACCACGTTGTCAAAAATCTATGAACATCCTATCTAACAAGAATCGAAGCTGGAATAGTCTTCCATGCTACCGGACAGACTCCAAGAGCTGGACACCGACCTTTTCTCCAGTCAACACGATGGCAAGCTACCTGACGTCCCAATGACCCAGGAGAAACAACCTAACTAGTTCCTCACCATCAACATTCTCTCGTCTCGACGAGGGTGAAGGATTTCCAAACTCTCATGGCCTACCGACCACAGCTAATTTCGAAGGCCCGGAAAGAGGGACGTGAAAAGGTCAACACCCGCACTACTGCCGCTTCCTGCGCATCTGCTCCAACCTTGCCGATGATCACCAGCATAGCACGACTCATAAAGGAAATAAAACTACCCTACAACCTTAACCTTATTACCATAAAATCCTACCATTTTTGCTCAAGCTTATAGAGAAAATTGATGAAAAATAATAGTATAAAATTGTAACACATTTTTATCACATTTAAACTCTTATTGAAATTATAGCAAATTGGCCATTATTACTATTTTTCACTTAATGCACTTACTTAAACACATTAAAATACAAACTGAATGTAATCAATTATTATAATTCTATTCATCTTTTTTTTTTAAACCCACGTAAAATATTCAATTAATTTTTCATGAAATCCACCTCGAATGTCATCATTCAATTTAATTTTTATTGCAAGATTTATTTATGTGAACTCAAGAAAGAAGAAGATGCAACAACGTCTTGAACATTCAAGCAAACAAAGAATTTCAGTGTTTAGTTTAATGACTTTTTCCTGTTGGCCGAAAAAGTGAAATATTTTATCGGTTATATTTAATTATATTTTCAATAATTTTTATTTTTCGAAAATTTCGTTGCTCATAAATGACCAACTCTATTTTAAGAAGAGGGATGTGAATCCTATGGGGTTATATTTAATCTAGTTTTACAATAATTTTTATTTATATGTATGTGCTAAACGCGCTTAGAGAGAGAGAGTAGGTTTATAAGCATGAACAGGCAGGGAGAATTGTATACCTGAGTGCGAGGGGGTCGCGCGAACACATGTATTGCCACCCCTGACCTAAATAAAAATACACGCATAGATTTTAAGGCGCTCATTGGTCTAGGCATATAATGTAAGGAGGGGTTTATTTTTCGTCAAACTGATTCTAGCCCGAAATTAAAAAGAAAAATCAGACTTCACCTTCCGCTGGTCGAGTGCAGGACCTTTGACTCAAATTAGCAGACTCAAAAGTTTAGTGGCTAATCTTTTGACGAAAAATACTCCAACCCACAAGGCATTCATCCAAGCCGCGCTCTGAGCAAGGAGTAACAGGTTCGAGTTATTTTGTGCTAATTTGTGCCCATTTACTGTTGTACCAACGGCTTGTTTTAATTTTATTTAATTTGGAAAAAGTTCATTCTCTCTAGAGTATAAGTAAACAGTTAATAGAAGAAAATTAGACTGTCGATCCAAAGCAGTCCACAAGCCTTTACGTATTAAGGTTAAAAATCTCTCTCTCGTTTATTACGATTTTAAGGACCCTTGGTTTATTTTATTTTATTTTATTTTGGTTTATAATATTTCATACTGTATGTTTATGTACGAAAACAGTTATATTCATAAACAGTAAACAATATACAAAAGAATAGAAACCATAAAACTTTTATCAGTATTTTTGTAACGCTTTTTATTGAACAATTAAAATATTACTTTCTTCTTATTAAAATTTATATTATATTTGTTTAAATTAAACACAAATGAAACCTTTTAGTTTATTGCAATAATAAGTTTAAATATGATAGTAAACAGATACGAATATAAAGTTCAAATCCAATAAAAGAATTAAGGTTTAATAAGTAGTGAAAAAAATAATTAAATTCGCTCATTATGGCCAGGCCTGAAAGTGTGTTTCTATGAAGTACTTATTGAAGTAGGTACGCATTCTGTACTAGGGTATTTTTATTTAATGAAGAGCGCCAAATCAACTAATAATAAAAGTACCTGCCAGTGTGCGTGCTCTCGGGAGAAACAAAAATATAAAAGGCGCATTTTTCTCCCCCTCAATCGGACAGGCACCGATTGAATGAAACGGTCGCCTCGTCCACTTTCCCTTTTTACCTGCCGAGTTAGATTTACAAATAAAAATAGACGTCTGAAAGAAATGAGATAATCGCTTCTATAAGTCTTTGTAGATTCGCGCGCAAAGCGGTTTTGGTTTTTCATATAGATAACTTAATTTAAAATTCATTTAAAAAAAAAAACCCCCTTTCAATAAATTCATTTCTAACCCCCCCCCCCCCCCCCCCCGCTTTCACAATTTAGTTCCAATTCTTCTTTTAAAGAAAAGAGGCTGCCACACTGGAAATGAAGCGAAAAAAAATATATCAACAGTTTGTGTAAAGAAATCAAGTTTTTGTTAAAATACAATTAATTCTTCATGAATCTTTTTATGATCAAAAAATCCCATTTTGCAGAAATTATAATTTTGTTTTCCTTATCATTGAAAATTCTAATTGACATTTTATATTAATTCATTAATTTCAATTTTTTTTTCTTTTTGAGCAGATATGGAATGCCGCCGATGATTCCGCACAACGCGCGTCACTCCACAACGAGTTTCATGGCGCCGAAAATTGGAGGTGGCGGCGACCCGGTGGCCAAAGTGCGGCCGGTGGCAAGCAGGAACCTGCAAGATAACAACAAAAGTTTCAGCCCCAACAAACAGCGCGCCGGCCAGTTGAGTGTGATCTCGAGCAAGAACGCGGATTACAGCATCAGAGTGTGAGTGAGTCTCTTCTTAAACCCCGGCCCAGCTCTTCGCTCAACAAACAAAACGAAAAGTGTGTTCAAGACTGCAATTGGCAAAGGAAAAAAGAAATCATTGTGATCCTCATATCCCTCTTTGAAAGAATAATAATGTATATTTAAAAAGTGGAGAAGAATCGTGCATATCCTCCGTCCCTCACACCCTGTCAAAGGCAAAAAAGTACTCCGAAAAGTTTTTGAATTACGAAAGAAGAATTAGCACTGCCCTCTTCTTGTTGCCAACTTTTGCATTTTGTGGATATTTGTAGGTTTAAGAAAGAAATGAACTTCCTCAACTTCCCATATAGTGTGACAATTGGCCAGTATGAAATGTATTTGCAAATTTTTATTTCCAATTTTACTGTATTTGCTCAAAACTTCCTACTTCCGTTTCAATATATCGAATAAAAAATTTAAAATGTAAAAACTCCAAATTCAATAGATGGATAGAAACTTTTCAAATCCCTTTCATCAGCTTGTGTATAAATGAATTAATTTCCAATGAAATTTCTGTGATTACTAAATGTGTAAGACGTTTTTTGAAAATAAAAACCAATCTCCAGTTGAAAAGCGTTTGACTAATTCACTCAAGCCTTTTGTTCTCTCTCGTGTGCAGCAGTAGTTGTGAGGAAAAAAATAGCCCGAGTGTTATTTCTCTAATGAAAATAAAAAAGCGGCGCAAGGCCATTTTCAGTGAGCTTTTTGCAGCTTCTGCTAATCCTCTCGGGATCTCTCCGGAATGTGCTCCGCTCGCCGCCGCCGGCAGGTATAACAAAAAAAGAAGGCGAGGTCTCTCAAGAGTCTGCAAGGGAGGAAAAGCCGGCCGTCGTTTGTCACAGCAAACGAGCAAACTGTAATTGCTCGGAATTGGAAACTGCTTAATTTATAGGATTTGAGTCAGAGATTTATTTTGAAACCCAGCATAATTTATAACTTTTAAATCTACCAAAGGAATTAAATATTATCGTTTGATATTTAGGTACAATGTTTGATGAGGATAATATTTTTATTGAAAGTTGAAGCATAAATTATAAAAAAAGTAGAGAATATCTGGCAGATAATTATAATATTAATTGCTCATGATAATTACGGATTTAAAAAAATAAACTTAGAAGAAAGATCGTTGCTTTTGCACTCTGCAAGCTCAACAAAGGGCAGCACATCTTTTTACATAATTTTTATATTATGTTGAAGGGTGAAAAAAGCATGTACAGTCCCGCCAATTCAAATCTGAATACAATTCTTGCAACTGTAGCCAACTTAACAAAATATATCTCTGTTAGAGTTTATAATTTGGCTGCCATTAAAATCGATATTCGATTAAATAAATCTAAAAAACTAATTCATGTATTTATAGACACCAGAAATCAAAATTTTTCGAAATTTCCTTAGAAAAATATTGTTTTGTTGGTACTGAATTTTCTCCCGCCAGGTCACTTGTCAAGTCACCTGTTATGAATGTAATATGACTTTGCTGTTGACTTTCGTGTGAATATTTTTCCAGTTTTGCTCTACAAATCGTCGCCTGTGCGTCTTGATGACTCATGGAAATGGAAATCTGCAGAGAACCTCAAGCAACGGTGGGCGGTCGAAAAACGGTCCCAAAACGACCAAAATCTTCCGTAAAAGGTATGAAAACGTATACATTAATGACGACAATTCAATTCCTATCAAAGAATTGTTTTTCAATTTTCAATTGATATACAAATGTAAATTCTCGTAATTTTGATCTGTTTTTATTCAAGCCAGGAATTTTTGCCTATGTTCAAAATTTACTAAAACTTTTTATTACTATAATATGATTTGGTTTTTTTTATAAAACTTTACGTTGTTGTCAGATGAATGAAAGTAAACACTAAAATTTATATAAAATAGTGATTTTTTAAAATTATTTCTAAAATTTTGTAAAAAAATTCATTTTTTGCAGACTTCGAACTGTGTTGTGAGCTTATTGAGTGGCCAAAGTTCATACCGAAAGGAGTGTTCGTCATTGAAGCAGCACCAACTTAAGAGTGAGTACAAAAAGTCATTTCGTAGTTTCTTTTGCCACAGATATTTATATATTTACCGATTACGCATACAAAGAGATGGCCAGTGATTTTTTTTGCGCTTTTTGGATAACCAGACCTAATGCGTGGTTTTCCCGTATTTAAAAAGAACTGATGACTCTTGACTGCAGCCCCCGAAATAAATATTTAATTTAAGATTTCTCTTTCCATTGATTGCAGGAATTTATTTTTGCACTTCGTACCGGATTAATTAAATTTCAGATAGTGAATTTCTTCAAATTGAGAATCTTGTAAAGATTTTCGTTATAAAAAATCAGCCTTTCAGGAAAAACAGATATTTTTAGAAAAACAAAAATGATATTTTGTCTTCCCCACGATTACCGATTTTTAATCCTGTATTTTTACTTAATGTCAAAGCAGGTGTCAGGAAGAATTGATTGGTGACCAAAGGGTCTGTTAGAAAAAAAAAAACGATTATAGAAATGCCATTGGTCCGAAAATTTACCTAATACATATGAAACTCAACAAGTAATTTTTGGCTGATCATTAGAAAGTTCAAAATTTCAGGCTAAGATGAATCAGTTTTTGTCCAACAAAAATTGTTCACCGAGTTCTATTTTGAGGAAAATTCGGTTTAAATATTTTCAATTTTCCATATTTTATTTTTTTTTGCGACACGAAATTTAAAAATTTCCAGTTCTTTGCGTCCAATTTTTCATGATTCTCTTTAAATCTATTTATTTTAGGCGTTGATTTGCTGGTGGAAACAGCTCAATTCTGATTGACAGGTTTTTTATACTTTCCAGTTCAAAAAGTTTCAACATCATTTTTCGAAATGATTTTTCCCCTTTAAAAGTTAAGCTCTTGACGTGTGTGCTGGTCGGTTACTCAAAGGCTTAAACACCGGGCGTGTGTTTTTACCTCAAGAGGTATTAAAAGTTGGGCCGGCGGTGGAGCGAATTTAAATATTTCATGCTCTGCCCATTGGCATCGGATGACGGAGTGGAAAAGTTTCGAGAGGCACTTTGGCTGTTTCGCACCCACAGCCTTTAATCAATTATCGAGAAAGGCAGCAACGGACGAACAGACATTCAGCCCGAGAGAGATGCCAATCTGCTTTGTTCTGCCGCTGTCACAGACCCTCTCATCTAAAGATTGGTCGGCCCCACTGACCTTTTATACTAGTTTTTTACCAAAAATTTTTTATCTGACCAAAATTTATCACTTCGTTTTTATTTAAAAAAATCTTCCTTGATGAGTTTTCGGTGTAATTTTTTTTCCCTCTTTCACTTTTCATTTTTCCTTTTTTGCCGAGCAGTCGAATTTGGTTCGCTGGAGGTGAAAATCAATTTGAACGTCGGCGATCAGAGGCAGAGCACTTCTCTCTTCTTCCTCTCCGTCGTGATCGTTACAAAAAGACCGACGAGCCGCCGCTTTTTCATTTTCCATTTCCACCTTTTGGCAGAGCGCGCGGCTCTCGTGTGTCCCGACAAGGATTAAAGACACAACGCCACACTCGCTCTCTCCGCCAGATTGCAATCAATTTAATGACTCTCCCACGCGCCACCTCCCGCACCGCATTTCTCGCAAACAATTTCTCTCGATCAAACAAAACGCAGAAATCGAAAAATCATGGAAATTACTTTTTTTCGGTAAAAAATGCTTCAATTTTTTGGTAGGGAATAAAAACATGTTTGAGCTATTCAAGGATTCAAAAAATAAGTAATATTTTCTGCTCCTTGAAAATATGCAAACTGAAAAACTTAACATTTTCAATAACCAAAGGATGCGTTTTGTGTTAAAATTTTAATTTATTTCGGCCAAAATACAAATAAATTTTCTGCGAATGACTGAAATTCAATATAATATTGGAACCTCTAATTAACGGTTAATTAACTTATAATTTGTGTCAATGTCGATGAGTTTTTTTGTATTCTTTCCCAAACGGACGGTTTGAAAAAAAATTAGGTGCCTAGAAATCCACGTAAACCCTTTAATAAATTTGAATAACGAATTGATATATTTATTTTGCGTATTTTTTATTGCAGACTCTGGATCCGCTTTACAGTAAATTAACCCAACCGGTTTTATTTGAACAATTTTAATGAGGGATGGGAATTATAATCAAATGATTATCAATAGAAACTACTTTATTGCTTAAAAAACACGGTTGTTTTCTTTGCGAATCTTGTAATGTTGAGTCGAGAATGAACCAATTTTATAATCGATTGTTTTCGATTATTTTGCTAATAAAAACTGATTATTCCAAGAAAAACATATTTTTATCATGACTATTTTAGATTTTTTTTTTTAAATTCCGAAAGTTAAATAAAAAATGATTTTTGGCGAATATCTGCAAATATCGGATAGACCATTCTGAACAGTTTGAGCTACGTTTTTTGACTGTTAATTTTGCCCTGGACCCTGGCCCACATTTTAATTTTGGTTGAAATTTTAACTTTTTTAATCTCTGTCAAATATTTGTTTCTATTTCCAATGCAATACGTTGTATTGAGAAAGAAAAAATGCATATAATCACTTCACTTTTTTTCCACTTGCCTTTGTATTTTTACACATACATTTTTTTTTTATTATTTTGCTCGTGCCACGCGTCAGTCAAAAGGTATAAGAAGACGGAGGCGCGAATCAATATCTGTTGGTGGCGAACGCGGAGGCTGCGAGGTGATAGAGAAAAGAGAGTCAGTCGCTCTCCTTATTTCCTTCTTTCCTGGCTCTTCTGCTTCTTCTTACTTTGCATTGCGCAGTTGCAGGGGTGGGGGCGGAGGAGCCCGGCGGCGGCTGCTGTGCCGCCGCGCGCGTGTTAGTGGCTGCCTGACCGCCGGTCGGTTCTCGTCGGTGCGACCGCCTTCCACAGGTACTCCTTGCGAAGGTTCCGTTCGTCGTCAGGGTCGCGCGTGTTGTTCGTCAGGTCGCGGCGCCATGGCGGCCGGCCTCCTCTTCCTACTCCTCTTCGCCTTCGCTCCACCTGGTGAGTTAACCCTTTTTTCATTGCGCACTTTGTGAACCGAAAAGGTGAAGTTTCCAACCCTGACAATGATATCAATTCGAAATTCTGAAAATTTTGAAGAGCGACTTTATAAATTTACGAATTTTACTAAAAAGACATCCGAAGAATTTAAAACCAAACCTGCAAAATGATTAAAATTTGAGGAGGAGAAAAGATATCAACGATTTTTTTTTTAATCCAATTGAATTTTTTAATGATAAACATTTGTATGCCCAAAACGTTGATTGTTAATTTTAAAACCGAGTTGTAACAATATGATTGTTTTTAATGATTATCATTTAATTTGACATATTTCAGGAAAATTATAAGAAATAATTATATATTCTTCTTAAAAACTACATATTTTTTAATTACATTAAATTATGGAATTTATACACAAAATTTTAATTTTATTTATTATACTTATAAGACTTATAATTTAAAATGTAAATAATTTAAAATTAAAGAATTTATGAAATTATTTTATTTATATGGAATTATATTTCAAATTATATTTTTATTCGACAAAATTAAAAACATCAACAAATTAATTAAGTTAATGGTAAAATGAACAACGTTTGTTTGAATCAAAATGGTTAAAAAGAACTTTTAAATGATTCCTAATTCCACATAATTTATTTACATTAATTGGAAATTTTTGAAATTTAAATTTATCACTAACTTTAAATTTCAAAGAAACAAGCAAAATAAAATATTTGCAGCTAAAATTATTAAAAGAAAAAACATTTGATTCTGTTGTAAATTAATTACAGCTCCGGCCGATATTATTTATATTTTATTACAGCAACAAATTAGCATCTCTATCGAACCGGTTTTTAGCTTTGGAATTTCTGCAGAACAAAAAAAATGCCGCCATATACATGTCACTCTGCATTCCTACCTTGTTCAACCACGTTCAATCTGCTGATAAGACGCACGCCGCTGGAATTCCTCAGATTCTATCAGTTTTTTTTTTTACAGAGGTAGGAGTGAAAGGATGTGGAAGCTGGGTCAGTAAAGAGAGAAACACAAATAATTTATTATTCTTTTTTTAAATTTTATTTTCATTACAATGCAAATTATACGTAAAAATAAGTAGTTTTGTTTTTTTAAGATGAAAAGCTTGAAGAATAAAATCGAAGTGAGAAAATGTTGTTGTCTTAAAAAACAAGATCAGACAAAAACAGATTGGCAGTCCATTGTGAGTGGCTTCATATTATTTTCGCTCTCGGCCGCCAAAGTTTTCTTCCTCCCTTTCTTTTTATTTCGGTCCTGTAATAATAACGCGCGCGATCGGTGGGCAAAAGTTTTTTATCTCCGCTCAAAACTTCTTCTTCTTCCTCATCGACATTGAGCCGAACAGACTTACGGTGTTATTTCGCCCAGTCCGCTTATTTTTCGCGTCGCAAAAATCAGACCCTTTTCGTTTCACTCTTGCACGACAAGAAAAAAGAATGAATTAAAATACAAATAGTTAATTAGTTCGTGAAAATAATTCTACAAAAATATGTAATAAAAAATGAATCAAAAATAAAAATTCTGAAGACCTAAACGACGTTTTTCAACGTTTGAGACTCCATAGATTTCTATCAACGGTGATCAAATTTCATAATTATATCTATCGAATCCTGAAATATCAAAGGTTTAAAATATTAAATAAAATAGAGCCCAGTTTTTTTCAGTTTTTTAATTAATTCAACGTTAAAATTGAAATTTCGTCTAAAATGGCAACAAAGAAATTAATAAGATTTTCTTTTGGTAAAATATGTGAATTTTTGCAAAACATTGATTTAAAAGTTTTTCTTTAAATTATGAAAAAATCTTAAAATTTCTTCCTATATAATTTTTATGTAATATTTCCGCAAATCAATAATAGCACGGCGGGTGAGAAAAGGAACAAAGAAATTTGTGGCGGGCTGAGGCAAAGAGTGAGTGCACTCGGCTCTCCTCTCTACTCTTTGCTCCTTTGTTCGTTTTTCGACTCATTTCTTTTTCACTGGCGAGTGCTCGATGCGAAAAAAAAGAACCATTCCCTCTCTCACCTCATCCATTGTACACACCCAGTGCAGCTGGAAAGAAAGAAAGAAGTTTGGTGCCGCCATCAATTCCGCCGCGCGTCGATGGGAAATATTTTCTCTCGAGTCAATTAAAACTTTGCACAACGCGCGCAGTAAAAAGAAGAAGAAGAAGCGACACGAGCTTTGAATCCTGAATTAGTCGTGCAGAGACGCTTGGAATTTTTCGCGAAGAGTGTTTTATGGGCGAGACTGCTTGTGCCGGCCTGGGATTAGTTTTTGTACGTCCCGCACTCGACAAAGTAATCCGACCGGATGAACAAGTGCACTTCAGTCTTTTGCTCAATCAAAAGCGGATTTGCAATTTTCCAAATAAAATATAAAAGTGATTTAAAACAATATCAAAATTAAGAAGTTTAAATTGATTCCATTGAAAAATTATGAATTTGAAAGCAAATTTATTTGTTGAAAAATACCATTTAAAAATCAGGTTGCACGGAATTGATTTTTTTGATTGAAAAATCTAAATTCTAAGGAAAATCAAGGATTGATTTGAAAACTTTCGCCGTGGAGAATTTTTACCTCATTGGAAAGAATTCACGAAGAATTTGACTCATAATTTAGATCACCATGAAAGTGTATTGAGAAATTAAATCAATTTAATTAATTAATTAAAAGAAGCACACCCATCCACCCCCACATCTTTGAATTTAACCAGAAATGAGATGAAAAATGCAAATAAAAAATATGAAATGAAGCCTGAAATTTCCATCAAAAAAATTAATATATTCTTTTTCTTTAAATTTTTTGGCAGCATCGGAAATAACGTCTTTTTTTCTCTACCTCTCTGGCCTAACTAATGCTTGTTGCTTGTGTTTAAAAGGCGTCGTGCGTCGGCGGTTGCTCGCCCATTACACAATCAACACGCGCATTGTTCGCGGCCGAATTGTCTCCGTCGGAACAAATGGGCGCTGGAAAGAGCAGACAATGGACTAAAGCACTTAGTCACTGTTTTACTCTGTCGTTGTTGTCTGTTTGCTCGGCGGCTCACCTGCCTCCCTCGCGAAGAACAAAAAAAAAAAGGAGAGATTTACAAGTTCGGTTTCGTCAAAAAATATAAAAGAAGCCAAGGTATGCAATCCGCTTTGCAACCGCGTCGGGCGGGAAGCCTAATTTCGACACTGATTGTTGACTCTTCCGAAGGATTTGTGCCTTAATTTTTTCGAGATGACGAACATAAATTAAATTTGCTTTTATTTTTTTCCTCAAATAATTGGTTTTAATTAAAATTTTATTGCGCAACACAAATGCCGAGTTTAATTTCGAGAGGAAAGTTCAGTTAACGGCGCGCAGGGTGTGGTGAAATATTCAAAAGCGTCGTCTTGAACCGGAATGTTGGGCTGATTACACTCAACTTGCTTGTCCTTGAGTTTGCCAAGTTCTTCTTGTGTGTGTCCGGTCGGCATGAACCCATCCTATGCAAATCCCGAGTCCGTCTGGGCCAAACTAGTTGCTACCTTAGCACACAAAGGTTTTGTGTTTAAGGGAGGGTCTTTGTATTAGACGGAGGCTTTTTGTTTGCCATTATAATGGAGTGAAAATTAGGCGGCGCCGCACACACACGTACAGATAATTCCGCAGGCAGGTGTATTCATTATGGGCCGACCGGTTTACGCATTAAGCCGGCGGCGGCATCAGGGACTCGGATTATGCAACCCTTCGTTACTCGCCAGTAGGTTGCCCAAAACTTCATAAAGTTGATTTAATAAAAATTGAGAAATTTTGGAATATTTGTCATATTTTCCAATCTTAACCTGAAAAATAGCTGAGAACTGAACAACATTTTGGTTTGGGCATGAAATCTATCAAAATTAATAATTCCAACCTTTGAGTTCAAATCTTCCCGCCAAAATTATTCAAATCTTAATAATTTATTTGTTCATTAAAGACCCTCTCTGGTCATTTGTATTGCTAAATTTCGAGTATATCTTGTGAAAACAATGTATGAAAATTCCAAACCGTTGCGTCACAATCTAAAGAAAACCTAATACGAGGAGAATTTCCATCAGTTTTGTCCATAAACTGCAGTATTTGGTAAAATTGGCGCTGCGATCGCTGATTTTTCCACTCATGCCCCACGGAATACGTAAAAATAAGCGATTGCAGCGCCACAAGTGGCCAAATCCTGCAGATTTTAATTTAAATTTAAATTTCTCTCTTAATAAATAGCAATAAAAATGACCGAAGTGGGTCTTTAAAAACTCTAGATTGATTTTCGACAAAAAAAATTGCAAATATCTGTATATATAGCATTTTTTTTTATCGTGATAATGCAATACTGTCTACTTTTGAATTTTATTGAATGAAAATCATTTGTCATTGTGCGTCTTTTTAAAGTGATTGCCTGGCTGTCTATTTGTCGCCTCACAAGGTATTAATGATGGCGAGGGCGAGTGGATTGGCCTCTGGAGGAGGCTGGGGGCGATAATGAGCCGTGCTAGAGCCTAGTTATTACCGAGTGAGCAAGATAAACGAGCGAGTTCCATTCCCTGAATGGCGCCCCCGCATGGTGTAGACCAGAGAGCAAAACACGCGAGAAGTTTGCGAGCAAAGGTATTTGCTGCGGCGGCGGCGAATTATGCAGCCGGCTAATGACGCCGAGGAGACGAACGTAATCAACGGCTCGGGCGTAAACGACTCGCACGCCCGGGACCCATTTTTTGTTGTTTGCTGAAAGGCTTAAATTGAATGGGAGTTGCGACATACACAGGGCCGGAGAAAGCGTGTCGGGGTTAATTATTTTCCACGCGTAAACAGGGAAGCTCCTTATCCGTGGCAGGGGCTCGAGAATTTGAGTAGAATTTGTGTTTTGGGCAAGCAGGAGAACTTAAAGGACAACACCATTTTTTTAAAAGGGGTTAATTTTTTATGGTAAATTCTGAGAGTCCAGACAAGAAGATTGCAAAA